GCTAATAATAATACAGAAAAGAAAAACACCCCCCTTAGTGCTAACTATTAGGTCCTGTTTTATAACCTATTAGTACGTACCTGTACCTTCCACAGGGGTCCTGGCAGTACATTTGTTAAATTAACCTTTGACCTTGTATTAAACTCTTGTTAACCCTAACCCTATGTACTTTTATATCGGAGTACAGGCGATATCGCCCTGATATTGGTTTTGCCAATCAGGCCCCAAGTGATTCAAGGCACCGAGTATCGTCAGCTACTCACAAAACACTACTGTTGTCCTCAGTGGCTAGCCAAAGATTCAACAATAATAAACGACATCATGATAGGGCCAAAGCAATAGTCTGCTTCCTCACTGCCGTTGTGCTGGACCCTTTGCGCTTGAGCTCGCCTAGTTTGTCGTCGCCGTTACCTTCCCACCGGTATTCGGACCCCTGAGCTTCGAACAGTGCTAGAGATGGTGGGAGATCCGGGTTACTTGCCATTATTCCAATAGCCTTGAACGAAAAGATCAACGAGTCTCGATGTCACGGATCAACATCCCGGGGCCAATAAGATCTCACTCCTGCAGTCAACACAGGCGCCAGAGGATCCGGTGACTTGGTCTTCGTCGACGTTGATGGCGGGCAGGATGTCGATCGACGTTGTTGAAGTTGGATTGCCAGCCTCGGGTTACGCTAGTTTCCTGTACAAAACTGGCCTCAAAAACCGGTGCAGGAGGCGCACGTGGGCTTTGACGCGGCTCAGCTGGTAAAGCTTATGTCGTGATATAAGCCGTAATTACGCAGTGGCAATTACGGATCCGCTTTTGTCATCACAGCTTATCATCTTTTCACCACCGCTGCCATCGCCGCCCGAGCCTCCATGGTCGATGCCAGGAATAAACGGATAGCTCCTATCATCTTGCTCAAGGGCCCGGGTTAAATCTCACTTGGTGCGGATTGGGACTAAGGCAGTTGCTCGCCGCCTGGCCGTCATTTTGCTCCTGATCAAGGTCGGCGTTGATATCCGGGCACGTATCCTCTATATCCCACTGTGTCTTTGTGTGGTAGCCATTTCTATACTTCAACTGTACGTTCCAAACGATGGGTTTGATCCGTCCCGTATCTAGCGGCCGACCGAAATGGGGGTTCTTGGAGACAAAGCGGCGGTGAAGCAGGCGGATCATTTTCTTCACGATTTAGTTTTGCGTCTGCGACTTGACTGTCAAGCACTTAATACACCTTTTCACAGACCCCCTGCTGCGAATTAACCCTACAGCAAGGCCACCGGTAAGGGCACGATGTTGTTCAGGGACCTTGTCGGCCAGCTGCAGAAACCCCAGATTACCTGCCATTGCAGAGCATCGAATCCTACACAGCATCATGCGTAACATAGTTATATAGAACAACACTGCTTCTGGCGCATATACAAAGGTAAGGATACTAGAGTCAGACGGGCCAACTCGATGAAATTGCAGACATGGTTCGTCCTCAGTGCCGTCCATATTTTGCCTTATCTATGCCTTTATAGGTTTACGTAAATGTGTCGTCCAATATCCCATCAGGCACAAGAATAAATGAGCTTGGAATTCTCAATTAGGCAAGCTGTCTTAGGGCCGATGTTAGTATTGTGTGATAAGAAAAGTGGAACCACAGTTGTCACTGCTACAACTGCACTAAGATCACGACATATTGTCATAGAGGACAAGGTTTCACAAGCGAGACATTGACGAGTTCATCCAATCTTATCTACCCGGGACCTTGGACTACCGTATCCACTCGCAAGATTGAGAAAACGCTAATCGGTAAGGGGTCTGACAGCCGCCCAGAAGAGCTTAGTGTGCTGGCAGAAACAGGGCTAGTTACTACGTGTGATGGGTATATTTAACCGGATAGTCAGGTATTGCCCCACCAACAGGGGCTAAGACAGATGGCTGGCAAGGGGCCAAAAATGGCTAACATAAGCCCAAAGCATCCAAATTAATTAATTTCTATAGGCAAAGTCAGTACTTAATATACATCCTATTAGCCTTAATTACTACCTTATTTCTATCTAGCATAGTTATAAGCAGGTTAGCTAGGAAGTCCTCTAGAAGAGCCTCCTAGGCCTCCTTTACCTACATACAGAGGGTATTATACAATAGGTTCTTATTAACGCCTGCTAGCTCTTAGATATAGTTCTTTATCTAGTTCTAACACGTCTTAATTAGGTTAAGATTAGGTAAGAAGGGCGGCTAATAGATAACCTAGACACCTTAGCTATAGAGGTCTTATAAAGTCTCCTCTACTAAGTGTACTAAAGCGCTATCTTATATAAAGATAAGGTTATTACTAAATTATTACTAGTATAGATAGATCTATCTATAGATAATAGGGACAGTCTGTTACTAGTAAGACTTAGCCTTAATACTACCTTAATCCTTCTCCTAGAAGATACCTAGCCCCTTCTAATCTCTAGAGAAATATCTCTAGAATATCTAACCCTGCTTACGTTAATACCTCTTAATAATACAAGTTAGATCCCACTCTTCGCTAGACTAACAGGTTATATAGATCTTAGTGTAGTAGCTGCTAGTTACCTATGTCTTATCTGTCTATAGAACCTTCTTCTAGTCCTTAAGGGTCTAATAAAAGTACTCTTAGGCCTAAGTAAGACGCTATTACTAGTTAACTTTAGAGATAGGGGGCTTCTGCTATATAGCCTATCTAGTAAATCTAAGCTAATAAAAAGCTACTTAAATAGTATAAGCACTAAATATAGAGGTAAAAAGTTATATAGATAGGCAGAGGAAGGAGGCCTAGCGGCCTTCCTTAGAGGAAGTAATGTACTTAATAAGCTCTTCCTCTTGCTAGGTAGTTATAACACATAGCCGGCCTAATTAGGGGGAAACAGCAGCTAACTAGGCCCTTATTACTGTATAGACTTAGTGCTTTAAAAAGCTAGTAATATTTACTATCTCTAGCTGTAATAGCTTTACGTTAGTATAAAGGGTACGTATTTACTACTAATTAGCCTCTATAAGGTGCTTTATATTACTACCGGCCGGCCGGACTATAGTTATAATAGGTTAATAGGTTAGGTTGTTATAGGAGGAAAAAAGTAAAAAAGGCACTGCTAATAGGTAGGTGGATAATTTGGATGAATTCGTGGCCTCTGATTGGCCGGTTAAGTTAGTATAGGCTGCCCCACTGGTACTTGACAATGGGGTTAAACTTTGGCCCGATACCGTAGTAGTTGGTTGATGGGTTGGGGGAGTGAGCTATGACAGAGTCTAGGCAGACTGGTTAGCTGGCTGGCTGGTGATGGAGGGCGAGTAGGTTAACCGCCTTCTTAAGAAAGCTTAGCGTGGAATAACTGCACTAACTACATACAGCTAGCCAGCTGCTTCTTACAGCTAGCTCGCAGTTTAGCGTTTTCTCAATCTGGCGAGTGGATACGGTACTCCCGAATGGCGTGTCACCCTGCGACTCTACGGCAGTCTGGCAATGTTCCTTGTACTTTATTACCTACTGTGCTGCCGATTGCTTGTCTTAGTCAGCAACCCGCTGTCGTCAAATCCTAGGTATTATGTGAAGGCCAAGGGTCCACTTTAGGCTCTTACTGCACCGATCCAAATTAAGACACATACTCCATGTCAGCGGCTACTCCCGATGTCGTTGACGTTTAAGATCAATATAACGTCAATAATCTAACATCCGGCTCGAAGCTATTCAAAGGTTCCGGTCGCCCGGCGCAAGGAAATACAGCCCAATACGTCGCCATGACACTAACTATAACTTTATTACTTTTTATTTAACCTAATACATGGCGCTGGCCACGCGAAATTACTCGTTTTTGTATTTGGCAAGCGCACTGTAATCGGGATTCTTTGTGTCACGCGAGCAGCCCACCAGCTGCGTAGGTATATTGCCCAGCGACACCGCTTTCCTGCGCGACCTCCCCTGTCGATTGAGGAGACAATGGCCTGCATATCACCTACATCAATATTGCTAGGACATGCGAGGTTCCTGGGTAAAGGTTCCGAACTAAAACTCAATCTCTCATATCGTCACAGAGCCACTTTTTGTGTGGGAAAAGACATATGAAGACGAGGTATTAGACTGTCAGAAACGCCATTCCAAGTGGTTCAATAACTGCGACAAAGCCCCGAGATGTCAGATATCGTGTCACTATAGGAATCCGTTGGATTCCTCTGTACACCTATAGCGTAGTAGGTTGGACCTGCGCAGTGGATGCCACTTTGATGCTATTGAATATTACAAGGCAAAGACACCTTGATAAGGCTCAAACGCTGGGTATTATTGTTTTAGTTTTGTCTCAGGGAATGTCTTGAAGTCTGGCCCTAGTAACTCAAGTTAATCCGAATGACACATTCAGTTCTAATTTGCTCACGAGAAAATCCCGTCACGGTTATAGCTAGCTAGCCTTTACTCAGTACAGAGTCATGGAAACAGGGATGGTAATGCACTCGTAATAATTTCATGAAACTTCCCACGATAAGAATCTCACTTGTATGACTCGTACTCGCTAGCGTAATGGGGTAGATTTGAAAGTCCAAGTTTTGCGCATGTCGTGACTCGTGCGGAAATACAAGTTTTGGTTTGCCCAAATGCACGCCACCTATACCCAAGATCCACTCCTAAAACCATACTCCACAGGTCCAATACTACCTAAACATATAACTCCCTCTTTTGGCAAGGTGAAATCTCAGGACTCCGCCCATTTTAATCAGGGCTTTCAGACCCCACACGTAGCGTGAGGGGAAGCTGATGCTCCATGGCCCGACGTGACAGGCGAAGTGGATTTGCCATTTAGGCCAGGCGTCTCCGGCTACTACCAAGCGATTAGGCGGACTACATGGGACATCCACTAGCTCGCCTATTGTATTCTCCCGGCACTAGCTTCATCAACGGCTAATTCTCACGGGTCACACTGGTGATGCCTTTCACATAGTCGAGTTATCCGAGATAGACAGAATATTGACTCTACGAATCCATTGCTGGGCTCGTCAGATCTCGAATGCCTGCTATGAACCTTCAAGCTTTGCTCTTAGCATCAGTATACTCTTTGGGGGTAACAAGAGGAGCACCGACATCGAGTGCAAGCTTTGATATCAACGCGGATTGGGTGTCTTGGAATGATGATACATGGACCTTAAAATCAACCAAGCCACTGCCAGGGGTGTTTACTGCATGGCTGCCACAGTCGAACGGGTATGTAAACGATAATCTGTCAATATCATGGTCGACGGTAGCCCGGTTCGTTTCTATTGTGCTGTGTACGGGAACTAATACGTACATGCCTTGTGTGAATAGTTATTTTGGCCTTGCCCAAGGTTCATTGGGGCCGTTCTATGAGCGCAGCCGTCGAAATGATTCAGAAGGATGGCCGTCTTATAGCAATCCTCGAACGACGTTTGCTACTGTTACGGGGTTTTGGGGCAGCGAGCCTAGCACGCTTGAACCCGGGGAGCTGGGCGAGAGTTTCATTTCCGGAGTGCCGCATTTTACCGATTTGCTTGTTGAAGCATGTGGCAGTATCCTCAATGGAGATGTAGACGTATCCGAAATCAACGAGTTCGAGTCAACGCTGTCTTTGTGAGTAAGTGTGCGCGCACTGGCTGTCCCACAAGGCGGAAGAATGATGGCACTGACTTTTTATGCTCTACTACCAGCAAGACCGGCATACTCACATGGTCGTATGTCTGGAGCCCTGCAACGTGCGTAGGGGACCGAAAGTTCCTGGTATCATACGAGTCTTTGGCCTCGATGGTCGAACGACGTCTGGCAGCCGTGAAATTGGTCGTCTCCAGCGAGCAGGGACTCGACAATGTGCACGTCCTCGATCTACTAGACAACCAGTCCGCTTTGCGCACAAGAACCGTCAAGACAGGCGTAAATGAGGCCAGCAGTCAAGTCTATTCAGCTGTTTCGCCAGATGGAGTTGACCACGTCATGGCGTATGTGCTGTCATCAACACTTGGGGACGGGTTATTGGGCCTTGAAGGCAAGGATGAATACTCGAGCGACTTCTTTTCCGCACTCGATTTCGTTATAACCTCAGATTCAGCCAACTCATCCACCACCGACCCCAAGTCTGTCTTCCCGACGCAGCGGTATCGGGTGCAATCTGGTTTGCAGTCCGCGACGGTCTACAAATACGCAGCTATTGCCTCAACAGAACATTACGGATCGAATACGGAAGCAGTGGTCTCGAGCGTTGTGTCATCTGCCACAATTCGCGGGTATCATGCTTTGCGTGAGGAACACAGCGCCGAAGTGGGCAAGTTCATGAGCGCAGACTTTGTCGCTGATTTCAGAGATCCAGTGACAGGATCGCTTCCAATGAACGGTGGCGGCCACGTGGTGCAAGCCTTGCAGATCACAGCCATCTCCTCCGCTTACTATCTTTACACGAGCCTCATCCCATGGAGCCCGACTCAAGATAAGAACTCAAGCACTTGCATCGCGTGCAACTCCCTGGGTGTTGGCGGCTTGGTTTCCCAGACATACGGAGGTAAGATCTTTTGGGACGCTGATCTGTTTGTAGCGCCCGCCATCCAAGGAGTGCATCCCAAGTTGGCAAGACAGTTTTCGCTATATCGCATCAATAGGGCAGAGGAGTCACGGAAAAACACCAAGAGGCACAATCTGAAAGAGGGGAGCATGCTCTATGCATGGACAAGCGGTCGATATGGACAATGCTACAACATGTCTGCGCCCTGCATCATGTACCAGTATCACCTCAATGCTGATATCGCCTTGAGCATGACCATGGGCCGCAACACAAGTGGCGACAGAAATTGGTATGAGAAGCACGGGGCTGTGGACGTGATAGACGGCGTGGCCACCGGCTTAAGCGATATTCTCACACGACGAGAGAACACTGGCCTCTGGGGCATCGACGTGATGGCCGATGCCGACGAATACTACATGTGGATTGCAGACGGTTCATTTACTAGTACTGCAGTCAGCACTCTTCTACAACTCGCCTCGGAGGCTCGTCATGAACGAGGTATCCCAACCGAGACCGACTGGCCTGACCAGCTCGAGCACATGTCGATACCCACCTCGGACGACGGCGTCGTGCTCGAATTCCAGGGCATGACAAACGATGTCTTCCCCAAGCAAGCAGACGTCATTCTGTCCCATTATCCCTACGACTACAAGCGGAATTTCTCCCTTGATAAATACCGAGCTGCGATGGACTTTTACGCAGTCCGTACCGACCCACACGGCCCAGCCATGACTTGGAGCATGTATGCTATCACAGCCAACTCTCTGGCTACCTCCGGATGCTCTTTCTGGACATATCTAGTCAAATCATTCCAGCCTTATATCCGTGGCCCTTGGTACCAGTACTCGGAACAGCAAGACGACGAGCCTGACGTCCTGGACCCCCTGACCGGGAACCCTATCAACCCAGCATTTCCGTTCCTCACGGGCCACGGCGGCCTCCTGCAGATATTCACGGCGGGATTTCTCGGCCTACGCGTCACGCACCGTAATTTGGTGATAAACCCGTCGCTCCCTCCGCAGCTCCGCGACTTCAAACCGCCAATCCAGTATTACAACGGCGCCGTCGTCAGCTTCCGCATGAATCGCACGCATACGTTTATTACGAGACGCGATGCATCTCATTTCGACGGTCTGGTGCCAGACCAGTACGGCGAGGAGGATATGCCCATCACCGTCGGCCGAGGCGTGGACGACCCCAACGCGCGGACGGTATTCTTGCGCATTAATGACACCGTGGTGGTACAGAATAGGTTGTATGATGCTGAACTTTCCGTGCCGGGCAACATCTTGCAATGCCATGACGCAACTTCGTCACATGGCGACCTGGCGTTCGCAGCCACAGATGGGTACGGAGGCACCTTTTGGCAGTCCGGTACTTGTGATATCACGGCCGCTCTGCTGGTGGACCTGGGAACTTCGCAGATGCCGCGGCTTCTGCATGCTATCCAGCTGGACTTTGCCATGCGACCGCCAAAGTATGTCAAGGTTTCGGTCTCGAATAGTTCAAGCTTCGAGCTTAGTACGGTGCTTGCGGACCAAGATATCCGTATTACGAAGCCATGGATCCCGGACTCGCCGGTGGCAAAATATGTAGGAAACAAAACCACCATCCAGCTCACTGGCGCTGTATGGAGTGGTGCATTTGCGAAACTAGAGATCACAGGCTGCTGGACCGATGATGGTGCTGGGGCAACAGTTGCCGAGTTCGGGCTCCTGGCCGCAAATCTCCATGAGTAAGTATTTGAAATTGCTTAGGGATAGTTATACATGGAGCAATATCGAATTGCAACTGTGCCGTATCCGTCTTTTTACAAAGCTTTCTCCGCCAGTATCCTTATCGACCTAGCGATTGTCTTATTCATGTCCAGCCCCCGCGGGAAGTCGTGCCCGAACACATGACCAATTTGATCCGCTTGACTGGGTTCAGCAATGTCAAACAGTTGCTGGCCATATTCAGGTGCATCGCCTAAGCCCGTGATATGCAGCGATGGCATGGAAAGTGGGTGCCCATCCCACTCCTTGTCAAAGAACGTCATGTAGTGCGTTGTATTTACGAGAGCCTGTAGATGTGAGTTTTATTATCGTCAGTCGGCGCTACGAATCTTAAGCAAAATGACCAAGTCTTTCTATGCATACCTGTCTACCATTGGCAAGCTTTACTGGCCGCACTTTATCCAGGTGTTCGGCGGGATCCGCTTTGAAGACATCAAATAGCATCCGCAGCTTTGGCGCCTCTTCAATCGGTAGATCCGTGACTTTTTGGTCATCCAATGGCATAATGAAAGGTGGCACGGCGCTGTTAATGAGCACCAGGAATTTGATTGGTAACTCCTGAAGTGTGGCGTATGGATTCTCGATGAGAAGTCGGATAGCAATTTGAGCAGCCATCGAACCGCCCTGCCTAGTTCAGGTTAGTATTTTTACCGCGACTAAAACATCAACTTCTTGGGCATCATCATCTCTTTCAATTGAAAGACAGTTTTCGCCAACTTACGAGTATCCAAGCAAACCATCAAATGGACCATGGTCCTCTATAACTTGACGGAGCTCGTTCTCAGTGGCCAGAATATCATCAATGTCCAGCATGTTATAAAACCCATAGAGCTGAAGTGCGTTATCACAGTTATTAGTAACCCCATGTTTAAAGGCCAGACTAAAGTATGCATTTCTAGAAGCAAAGACACTGGGAAGGTTCCAGAAGCCTTCGGACCCAGAGACTAGAACAGAGCTCTGAATGCTTACGTTTGACTTTGAGAAATCGACTGTATGCAGAGACCAATTGCCCTCTAAATGGGGCCACCGGCCTTCCACAAACTCAAATTCATATTCTGGCTCGAGCAAGCTCCGTATGCCTGCCGTTTGCATCCGAAAAATCTACAAGAGTGATGAAAAATTAGTTACTCAGTGACTTGTAGTGTTGAAATATGCTCTATAAAACAAAAATTGCCCACCTCCGTGTTGGAACCCCTGCCGTGCAGGCACAAAATTCGTATAGGCATAATTAGTTGTAATCTGGGAATCACAATATTAATCCAAGACGCTGTGAATGTTCAAGATTGTCGTTGCCAAGTCATCCAAAGGGGTTAAGGTTTCAAGCTTTCAGCACGAAAGGGTGTTCTGGTCACGTCGTCATCATGAACAGCCCATATATAGCAAGCTAGAATACGGATACCGTAGTTAGACAACCCTGCTTGCTTACCCTGCCATGGCAAATAACGCCCTACTGCGGAGAACTAGGATCCACTGACACAAGACCTAATAGGTATCCGCATACTCTCGCGCTATGTAGTGAGTGATATGTAGCCCGAACTGACGCGAGATTTGCTGAGGCAGCCGGAGTGTGTCAGGAATTTGGCCCTATTCCTGTGATCCACGGTACATGAATTTTGGGTGGTAGTGAACAGGCATATAGATTTTGGGACTGCCATGAAACTAGAGAAGGGACTTTACGAATTTCATGGCATTTGACCAATGGCTCATTTACCGCGCTACTCTTGTGGCCCCAGCGTCCTCTCATGATGTGGAGTGTGGACAGAAGGCCCACATCGCAAGACCACGTCAGATGACAAAAGGGCAGGGCGTGGGAAACATATGACTCAAGCATGGAGTTAAGCAGTCCCCACGGCGGGGAGCCCACTAAAATGAATCAAGCCCGCTAGAATGGATCAATCTAGCCCGTGGGGACGCCATGTATTAGGCTGCATGCATAGAGATCCTTGGCTTCTATGGCAGGGTGATCCCAGCTTGGTATATCTATGTATATCTCAACTTCAAGAGAACAGGAACGAGCCCTGGAAAAGATGAACTTGTGGAACCGCCAGTAGGGTCCCAGTTCTGACGCTGAAAGCAAGGAAAAGGAGAAATAGAAGATGAAAAGTGTCCACGCGTGAGATCTTTTGCAGATGTCAGGCCTCTCTCTCTCCTTCAAAAAAAAGAAAAAAGAAAAGAGAAGAAGAAAAGAGAGTGGGGAGAGAGAGATAACTGAAAAGCACAAAAACTTTCATTTCATGATGTTAAGGCTCTATGAATAAGGGTGGTTATGTGCAAGATCGCTTGATAGCCTACCGGAACACTATTTCTATAAACCACCAGATACTGTTTCTCTTATCCGGGCACTTTACACATCGCTGTTCTATGTCTAGTCTTGCGATCCAATTCGTCATAGAGAGAAAAGAGAGAAAACTCATTCTAATATCACAACGCTGACCGTCGCCTGATTCTAATCTTTTCCTTGAGCGGCGGAATGTGGTTGGTCCCAAACCACAGATTCTCTGGTCTTTTGTCTTTGAACTCAAACTCATACTTTAGCAGGATGTTGGCCATTAGTACCTTCAACATGCCGGATGCAAAAAACCGACCGGGGCAGCTATTCAGGCCAGCCCCGAAGGACAAGTAGTCCGCGGACGTGGTGGCCCACGCCTGCCTCGCTCCCTTCAGATTATCACCAGTTCCCCGTGCGTCCTTTCTTCTGTCGTAGAAACGGAACGGCTTGAAAGTTTCCGCGTCGGGTCCGTAGATGTCCGTGTCAAAGTGGATCGAGTACGCCGGAATGCCGACTTGGTAGCCCTGTGGAATATGGACGCCTGAAGGCGTCGTGACACCGTCCTTTCCCACGATACGCAAGGGACCCAAACTCAGGATGGTGTTAACGCGCTGGCTTTCCCGGAAGCTGCTATCCAGCCTCTCGAGCTGAGCCAGTGACCCCTTGTTCCAGCCTTGTTCTTCGCCGTGAGCGGCGCGAACTTCGTTGATTTCTTGGCGAAGCTGGGCGACCATCTTCGAACCCTGTTCAGCGCCGGAACCAACGATGTCAAGGATCATGTGAACAATGGCAAAGACGTTGGTGTGCAGTGCGAAGGCGTTGAGAAGCAAGATGCGCGCTGAAAGGACTTCTGGGTCCAATAGGTACGGGTCGCCCTGTGATTCTCCATGCGCAATGTACCAGCTCAACAAGTCTGCCTCATCTTCTTCCCCATCGTGCTTCCAATCCTTCGTTCCCGATCCCTTGGAGTATTGCGAGTGGCCTCTGGCCTCCAGTCTTCTGTGAACCTCGTCGATGGTCAGTTTGAACCATTTTCTCTCGCACCAGCGGGATGGTAACGTCATCAGAGGCGCTAGGAGGCGCCGCAACGGGGCCGGAAGCAGCCAGAGCAGGTTCGCCTCGAGAGGTATGACTTTTGCATATGAGAAGCCGGTGTCGAGCAATTTTCCATTCCGGCAATGCCTCTTTCCGATGAAGATGCGATTGATCGCCTGGCTCACGATAGGCCTCAGTGTGTCGTAGACACCCACTTCCCTCCACTCGGTGCTGCCTTCGTCGCCCCAATGCTGGGCCAGTGCAAGATCCAGCTCATTTGAGAGGGCCGGGATCAGGTTGCCGATCTCCCTGGTGAGCTTAGTGGCTATGATGTGGATCGTCACTTTGTTGTGATCTCGAGTGGGGTAAATGGTGCCCAGGTCCCATTGGAAATGATTGATGGTCTGCTCATGCATGCTCACGACGGAGTCGGGCTGATCTACGAGCCATTTTCTTTCGGCAGAGGGCAGCAAGATCAATTTATTTTGGCCTGGCCCTAGGATGGGGACACGGACCGTCTCATTCTTGTGTTGTGTGTGGTGCAGGCGGAGCGTCTTTTTGAGATCCAAGGTATTCCGGTAGAGTGCCCGAAGATGTGGCGCCCATTCCCCGGGCTCACCGTTGAGCAACCTTAAGTGAGCGATTGAACGAGGGATTGGAAAGAGCAAATAATTATAAACTAGATAAATGATCAGGACTACCGTCGGCATGAGTACCGGCGGCAGTAGGAGCCATTCTACGCTTGGCATTGTGGCGTAACTCGAGCTTGTACCGTTGAAGGCCAGGCAGAAATCTGAATAACTGATAGGAGTGAGAAAAGAATATAACGGCGTTATAAATATGTGATACGAACTGTTTTAATCCACCATACTCTGAAGCACTGTAGGAACCCACATGGGCGGGACCAAATGCTCACTACGTAATAAAGCCTTCCTCTCAGCTATACCAACCCCGCGCCTGTTTGGGATCATCGGTACCGTGATAACGCATAGTGGAGGAAGACCATGTGTCCTAGTAGTTTGCCCAGGGCTTCTGAGGCTCGTAAGGGTTGAGCATCCACTCGTACATGTGGGGTTTGGCGATTCAGGATTCGTTGCATTCGGAGGGGAGTAATTGTAATTTGTAAGAACTTCAACTTATTGGCGAGACGCTGGTAGCGCCTCACAAGGCCATCTGTTGCATGAAGTTCCCAGACCGCCCGGTTTTTGGGCAGATGCCGTTGAGAGCAGCAAATTATTGAAAGATTACGTGAAAGATAAGAACATTCAAGGCAGTTTCAACGTGGGGGTGGTTTGAATGAGGGGTTTTTACGCTGAGCAAACGAGCTTGGTTCCAGACCAGGGACAGCTATATGCCAAATGATCATGTGAATTGGCAGTTGAATCTAACGACGAACTCCTGTAGAGTTTCATAGCTATCCGGGTACTATTCGTACTTTCGAATACTTCATATTAGTTATCCATCTCTTTTAACAATCAGCTACAACCTACCCATCCTACTTTCGCAAATTTTATTGTCACATCGAAAAGACGCCATCATGGGATCTATAATTATAGGCCTCGACGAAGACATCGCCATTATTGGCATGGCCTGTCGCTTCCCCGGAGACGCCACGAGTCCCTCGAAGTTATGGGATCTCCTGATGGAAGGCAAGTCGGCCTGGTCCGAAGTCCCGGCATCGAGATGGAACCAAGACGCACACTACCATCCGTCGCAAGAGCGCGCGGGGAGCAACACCGTAAAAGGCGGTCATTTCTTGCGCGACGACGAGCAGAACGGCAAGAAGTTCGACGCCGCCTTCTTCAATATTACCCACAAAGAGACAGAAACGATGGATCTCCAGCAGCGTATAGTCAGTAGGTGTTATGCAAACCCAGCAGAGTGTGTTTGAGGACTTGCCTGCAAATAAAACCCCTTCAGAAAGCATCCGGTAAACAGCATGTAAGGCTGACCATACAAAACCTATAGTGGAAAATGTCTACGAGGCAATAGAGAGCGCCGGCCTCCGGCTCGAGGACGTAAAAGGAAGCAAGACTAGCGTGTTCGCGGCTCAATTTACCGATGACGTGCGTTCAATTCTTCAAGAGGACCCGGACTTGTCTGTCAAGTATAAACCAATCGGCACCAGCGCGGCCATCCTCGCGGCCCGAGTAAGCTGGTTTTACGACCTGAGAGGTGCCAGCTTCACTCTGGACACGGCATGTTCTGGCAGCATCGTGGCGTTGCACACGGGGGCCCAGGACCTGCGCGCCGGGCTCAGTGATATGGTACGTATGTCCCAGGATCCATCATTGCGACAAACAGGGTGGCAGTTAACTGACGAATCAACCCTACACAGTCTATAATAACCGGAGTCAACATAATCGAGTCCCCAGAGTTTATGTTCCGCGCCAGCGGCCTTGGCATGGTGTCGCCCGATGGCAAGTGCTATTCTCTTGACGCGCGCGCTAACGGCTACGGGCGCGGCGAGGGGGTGGGCACGTTAATCCTCAAACCTGTGTCGGCGGCCATCCGCGACGGCAACGTAATCCGCGCCGTGCTACGCGGCACCGGCGTCAACTCAGACGGCCGCGGCACCGGCGGCATCACGCTGCCCAATAAAGCGGCCCAGGAGTGCCTCATACGGGACGTTTACGCCCGCCACAACCTCAACCCAGACGAGACCGGTTTTCTCGAGGGCCACTTTACAGGTACGCCGGCCGGCGACCCGATCGAGGCCAGCGCCATTGCCGCTGTGTTCCAGCGCGGCGGACCGAGAGCGGCGGCTGACAGGCCGTCGCTATACGTGGGCGCTGTCAAGGCCAACATTGGCCATGTCGAGGCGGCATCTGGCATGGCCCAAGTCATCAAGACAGTCATGGTGCTGGAAAACGGTGTGATACCGCCCAACACAAACTTTGAAAAGATCAACCCCAGGATACCAATTGACAGATGGGGTCTCAAGCTGCCCCTGTCGCCGACGCCATTCGAGGCAGGGCCCTCAGGGATCCGACGGGCGAGTATCAACAGTTTTGGGTTCGGCGGCACAAACGCCCACGTGGTGCTGGACGATGCCAAAAGCTATCTGGACAAGCTGGGTTTAGGTGATAGGGGCCACTTACACGCAACAAAGCCGGGGAAATCAGCACTCAAAACCCCTGGAAAGGACAATTGCTCGTCGCAGCAGGCTGCGGCAGGCCACAAGGTCTTTTTCTTCTCCGCAAACGATCAAGAGGGCATCTCGCGTGTCTTCGCGGGTGTCGCGGAGCATTTGCAGAAGCAGACCGGTGAAAACGGAACATGCCAGATAGACGACGCATATCTCTCCAGTCTCGCCATGACTCTTTCAGAGCGGCGTTCACGCTTGTCCTGGCGCCTTGCCCTCACCGCCGACTCATTCACGTCCCTCCTTGCGGCGCTCACCGATCCCACCACAAGTGCCAGCGCCGTCCGCCCCGGCAGGGCCACCACGCCCGCCGCAGCTTTCATCTTCACAGGCCAAGGAGCACAGTGGTTCGCCATGGGCCGGGAGCTGCTCGTCTTCGACGTCTTCAGGGCGAGCGTTGCCGAGGCCGACAGGTTCATTGGCGGTACACTCAGCAGCGGTTTCAGCGTGCTGGAGGAGCTTACGCAGCCCAGCGCCGAGACCTCCAAGATCGACCAGCCGCTGTACTCGCAGACGCTATGCACTGTGCTGCAGGTCGCCTTGGTGGATCTGCTTGCCAGTTGGAAGCTGACGCCCAAGCGTGTGATCGGGCACTCGAGCGGCGAGATCGCGGCCGCGTACGCGGCGGGCGCTCTGGACCGCAAGTCAGCGTGGAAGGTAGCCTACTACCGAGGTGTCGTAAGCGCGAAGCCCGCGGCCGACAACAACGCACGTGGCGCGATGGTGGCTGTCGGATGCACCGCCAGCGAGGTGGCTCCTCTCATTGCTCAAATCCATGAGAAACTCGGTGCTGATGGAGAGCTAGTCATCGCCTGTTACAACTCGCCCCGCAGCCTCACCATCTCCGGAGACGAGACCAAGGTGGACGCGTTGATCGAGGCCGCGAACGACAAGAAGCTGTTTGCGCGGAAGCTGCGCGTAGCTAAGGCGTACCACTCGCGCCACATGATTCCCGTATCCGAAGAATACCGGTCGTTGATGGGCACGCTCCGGGCAGCTGCTGCGGTTAACGGGCTGCCGTCGTCCGGTGTGCATGTCATGTCTTCGGTCACGGGTGGTCTGATAGCTGCGAGTGACATGACCCAAGCTGACTATTGGGTACAGAACCTCGTATCTCCGGTGCGGTTCTCGCAGGCGCTCGTTGCCTTGTGCACCTCTAACGTTGCGAAGAAGCAGCTCAAGGTCGGCGGCGGCGCCGAACTGCCTGTGTCGCACCTCGTCGAGATCGGCCCGCACGGCGCGCTACAGGCGGCGGCGCGAGACGCTGTGCTCAATGACCCGAACCACAAGGCCCTGCGCTACGTGTCTATCTTGACACGCGGGAAGCATGCGTGTGCCACCGCGCTGCACGCAGTCGGCGCGCTGGCTGCGGCGGGCCTGCCGATCGATCTGGCCAAGGTCAATAGCAACGGCGGCAAGGGCAACTATGCCATGTTGGTGGACTTGCCCCCGTATCCCTTCCTCCACACAAAGGAGACGTATTCTTGGTTGGAATCCCGTACCAGCCGCGCGTGGCGGTTCCGAAAACATGCTCGGCACGACGTCCTCGGCGCCCCCGTCCGCGACTGGGATCCGGACGCCCCGAGGTGGCGCAACCACCTCCGCGTGTCGGAGGTCCCGTGGCTCCGGGACCACAAGGTCACGGACAGCATTGTCGTCGCTGGGGTGACTTACCTGGTGATGGCGATTGAAGCTGTGCGCCAGCTGTACGGCGATAAGGGGGAGGTGCCGCTCGGCTTCAATCTACGGGACGTAAGCATCTCGCGGGCATTCCAGGTCAGCGAGGATGAGCACACTGAGACCATGCTTTCCATGAAGCGAGTCGCCGAGTCACGCCAGTCGGACAGCAGCTTGTGGTGGGAGTGGAAGGTCACCTCCTTCAGTGCTCACGATGACACTTGGCTGGAGCACAGCCGCGGACAGATCGCCGCTGAGACCGCTGCCGAGATATCTACGGGTGTGATTGACGGCGGGCGCGAAGAAAGGGAGCGAAGCCGCTACTACAAGGAGCTGCTGTCGTCCGTGACGCGGGTCTGCACCGCGCCACAGACGGAGCTTCTCCCGAGCCGGTACGCCGAGCTCGAGCGAATCGGCCTCGGGTTCGGTCGTCTTTTCCGCAACATCTCTAGCATGTACTCCAGCTCCAATGGCGACAGCAAGACGAGCGGCCAGGCGCTGGGCACCATCCGCATCCCAGACATCGCCACGGCAATGCCGGGCCACGCCCTCGCCGCCTCGATAATCCATCCGCCAGTTTTCGATAGCATCATGCAGTCCTTCATCTTCGCCTTGCAGGCCTCGGCTGAACGCCTGACGGAGCCCATGGTGCCCGTGGCGATACGCAGCGTATGGGTCAGCGCCGGCATCGAAGCCCGACCTGGCACGGAGCTCACGGTACACGCCGCAGCCGGCCGCGTCGGCCACAAGAAAGCCGAGGCGGACATCACGGCTTGGAGCACCAACCCTGATGCCGACAGGCCTGTAAGGGTCGTAATGCGCGGCATCGAGGCAGTGCCTTTACAGCACGGCACCACCGCGGGGGACGCAGCCGGCAGCAGGCGTGAAATCTGTTTCAACCTGGACTGGAAGCCGGACGTGGACATTCTTGAGGCAAACGGCGAGGCCGAAACTTGCATACGCACTGCATTACTGCCACTGGAGACTCCGGCGCTCCAGGAGAGCGCCTTAAAACAGCTCGGGGACGTGCAGCTGGCGTGCGCCATCTGGATCACCGAAGCCGTCAAGAAGGTCGAGGCGCGGCCGCTCGCAGACGAAAACGCGTTACCTGAGCACATGAAGAAATATCTAGGCTGGTTGCGGCTGATTGCTAACGATTACAAGAACAACAAAGTATTCCGCCAAGACGTCTCGTGGCCGGCTGTTACGGAAGACGCCACCGCACGCGACAGATTCCTCGCCGAGTATGAGGCGTCGGGCCACCCCGAAGCCGCTATGATATGTCGAATCGGGCGTAACATTGCGCCGATTCTCCGCGGAGACGTGGACGGACTGCACCTGCTATTCGGCATGGACGACCTGCTCGAGCGCGTTTACCGCGTCTCGATAGGAACCCAGAAGATCCACGCTCTAATGGGGGCGTATGCCAGAATACTGAGCCACAAGCGCGGCGCAGACCTCAAGGTGCTGGAGATTGGTGCCGGAACCGGCGGGACGACGACCAGCATCCTCGAGGCCGTCTGTCCTGCGGGGACCCGTGTCATCGGCGACTCGCGGCTGCTGAAATACACCTATACGGATATCAGCCCCAGCTTCTTCGAGACTGCTGCGGCCAAGTTCGGCAAGTGGAAGGCCGGTGGCGTCATTGAGTTCAAGACATTAGATATCGAGAAAGATGTTGAGGAGCAGGGCTTTGACCTGGCCTCTTATGACCTGATCATTGCGGCCAACTGCCTCCACGCGACGTCGGACATCACCAAGACTATGGCCCGCGTCAACAGTCTTTTGAAGCCCAACGGCAAGCTCTTCCTCCAGGAAACCACGGAGCTACGGTGTCTCGAGTCTCCGCTTGTCTTTGGCATGCTCGCTGGATGGTGGGCTGCCAAGGAGGACTTCCGCCCCTGGGGTCCGCTGCTAGACGGAAAGGGGTGGGAGCGAGTGCTGCGCGAAGCCGGCTTTTCCCAGACTGTCCTAGAGCTCAAGGACTCAACTAAAGATGAGCTGCACGTACAGAGCATGGTTGTAGCGACGCGACCGGCGGACGAGGAAGTCGCCAACAAGTCGCAGCAGCTCGACGAGGAGGATATTCTTCGCCGGGTGTTTGTGGTTGCGCATGAGACGCCCGAGGACATTGCCTTGGCTACGTTTGTGGCTTCTGCCGTGTCAGAGATGACCGACCTCGGGGTGAGCGTCGTTCATTTCATCGACCTGGAACAGCATGATCTAGCCAACACATGCTGCATTGTGGTGATGGAGGCTACCAAGCCCTTCCTCTCGTCGTCTTTCAGCGAAGCCGAGTTTGTGATTCTGCGCCACTTACTGACCAAAGCCGGAGGCCTGCTGTGGCTCACGCTCCACCCACATGAGAACCCCCACATGGCTATGATACCGGGCCTTCTTCGTACGGTGCGCTGGGAGAGAAATCTTGATGGCTCGGACCTGCTGCTTCTTCATCTGCCCTCTGCCAAAGCCTCGCTCGTGGCGGCCAACGTTGTCAAAGTCTTCAAGCATCACTTCAGCGGACCTTTTCTGTCTCTGGATCGCCATGCCGACTACCTTGTCGACCCAGTCGGTTGCGGTTTTGATCATGGTGGAGTCATCCAGACGGCCCGGATCATCGCCGCTCCCCCAGTCAATGACTTCATCGCACAGAGAACGACTGTGCTCCAGCCTCGGTTGCAGGCATTTGGCGCCGACCAGAGTCGCAGCCTGAAGCTGCACACCTCTATGCCAGGAGATCTGGATAAGCTGCATTTCGTCGACTGGCCAGGGGCGCAGCAGCCTCTCGGGGACGACGAGGTTCAGGTAGAGATCAAGGCCGCGGGCTTGAACTTCCGCGACGTCATGGTGGCCATGGGCGAACTCGACAACAATACCCTCGGCTACGAGGGTGCCGGTATCGTCACGCACGTCGGTGACGAGGTGACGGATATCAAGGCCGGCGATCGTGTCATCGCTGTCTGGAACGGCGACAATAACTGCCTCCAGACTCGTACGAGGGTGCCCCGGGACCTCGTAGCCAAGATTCCTAACAGCATGTCTTTCGAAGAGGCTGCCGGCATTCCTGTTGTCTTCGTGACAGCCTACTTTTGCCTATATGAGGTGGCGCGTCTCAAAGCCGGGGAGACTATCCTCGTCCACGCAGCAGCGGGCGGGACAGGTCAGGCCGTGATCCAGCTGGCCAAGCATTTGGGCGCCGAGGTCTACGCGACCGTATCCTCGCGCGAGAAGATGAAACTGCTGATGGAGCAGTACGGGCTCGCCGAGGATCATATCTTCAGCAGCCGTGATCTGTCTTTTGCAAGCGGCATCATGCGCATGACGGGTGGCAAGGGCGTTGACGTGGTTGTCAACTCCCTCTCGGGCGAGGCGCTGCGTGCCTCTTTCAACTGCATAGCCATGTTTGGCCGCTTCGTCGAGATTGGTAAACGCGACATCATGGCCAACGGCAAAATCGATATGCTCCCTTTCAGCCGATGCGCCACCTTCACTGCGGTTGACCTCGCCCAAATAGCCACCTTGGCGCGCCCATTGACCTCGCGCATCATGCGCTCCGTCGTCGACCTGCACGCCGCCGGCAAGCTCCATGCCTGCAGGCCGCTCAACGTGCACACCTTTGGGGAAATGGAAGACGCATTCCGCATCCTACAGCAGGGCAAACATATTGGCAAGGTCGTCCTCAAGGCGCACCCCGAGGACCTCGTCAAGGTTGTCCCCAAGCCGCCTGCGCCCACGCGTCTGAGACTCGACGCGACCTACCTGCTTCCAGGCGGCGTCGGCGGGCTCGGGCGGTCCATCGCCAAGTGGATGGCAGCGCCGGCACAAGGCGCCAAGAACATCGTGTTCCTTTCGCGCGGCGGCGCCGAAGCCGCCACAACGCGCCAGCTGCTCGCCGAGTTGGCCGACATGGGCGTGCGGGCGATAGCACTCAAGTGCAACGTCGCCGACGAGGCGCAGTTGGTCGCGGCGCTGGCCGAGCTGAACCGCCTGGACTTCCCCCGCATTGCCGGTGTCATCCAAGGTGCGATGCAGCTCCGTGACTCAGCCTTTGAGTTCATGTCGCACGCGCAATGGGAAGAGTGCCTGGGCCCCAAAGTGCAAGGCACATGGAATCTCCACAAGTATCTACCCGCCGATATGGACTTTTTCGTCATGCTGGGCAGCGTGGCCGGGCTCGTCGGCAACCGGGGCCAGTCCAACTACGCGGCGGGCAACACGTTCCAGGATGCGCTTGCAATATACCGGCGCACCAAGGGGCTGGCGGCGACGTGCATAGATCTGTGCAATGTCATGAGTGTAGGCTTTGTCGCCGAGAACCAAGAAACACTCAACAAGAACCCGCTCTTCTTCTACGCGCACGACGGTATCCGCGAGGACGAGTTCCTCAGCTTGGTCGAGTTCCACCTCGACGCAGAACGAGCGGGCTGCCAGGGGCAACCCCAGATTGGCGTTGGCTTGGCACCACTGTCCGTGTTTAAGGAGCGCGGTTTGCCCGAGCCGACGTTCATCAAGTCGCCGCTGTTCCGACAGTTGCGGTCGAGCGGCGAGTCGGGGGCCACGGCGGATGCTGCATCGGACCAGAACGGCGGCACCGTGTCGGTGACACGTGCTCTCAAGTCAGCCCAAAGCCCAGAGGCGGCGGCGAAAATCATCTGTGACGCGCTGGTGCAGAGGATCAGCCGCACGATGCGGATTCCGGAGCCAGACATTGACGTTGGCAAGCCGATTCACGTCTATGGCGTGGACTCGCTAGTGGCCATGGAGATTCGGAACTATGTTGCTAGTGAGTGCGGGTATGCGGTTTCGGTCTTGGAGATTATGAGTAACAAAAGTACGGAGGTTTTGAGTGGCGAGATTGCCAAAGGGAGCAAATTTGTGCGCAATGGCCTTTAGTATTTAGCCATGTAAGACTGGACCGCTGGAGTTCAAGATCAAGCATTTGGGCCAGATGGGTTGCTTGGTGTATTTAGGGATGAGAATGATTTTTTTTTTTTTTTTGAATATTTGGCGTTTTGTTTATAGATATTCACTTCAGTTTGGTACATTCTTACTGAATGACTTTATGTGCATAGAGATTGCAACATGCCGAAACATCATCTTCTCTGGTCTTCCCGGACTGACCGTGATTCATCTAATTTATTGGCCCCTCCTTGTCATGTTCCTCCGATGATCGGGTTGTAGTACCGCAAACGATCGGAAGGGTCATACATGGCCTTGAGATCACGAAGTCTCTTCAAGCGCCACAGTTCGTGTCCGTGGATTACTTCAACAGGCTCGAGCCCGGTGGCATGGTTTGCGTAGGTACTAGCGGCTTGCTTCGGTTGGCCCCTGTTCCAAACCTCTCGTACCTCGTTGGCCCACTCCCAGCCAGTCTGTTGCAGACTCGGGTCATTAGAAGGAACACTGACGATAGCGACCTTGAGATGAGGGTCCTCTCGGAAGGGATAAGCTGACTCGTGGGGTTTTGTGCCCGCACTGCCTTGGTAGAGTAGCCTTCGTGGACATGTACCACCTGCGGCGAAAGCGGGGTTGCTAGCAACACATCGTGTAATGGTGAGTGTCAGGTGATGCTCGGTGGCAGGAGTAGATAGAATAACCCAGTTTATGTACTAAAGTCACAGTCCAGCCGGCTAAGCTAGTAAGAGGTATTGTAATGCCTGCTGCTAAGATAAGCTGGGAGGTGAGTGTTAGTTACGCCTGTAACCAGGCTTGTGCGCCTGCTTACCTACATGGACTATTAAGCAGTTGTCGCAAAAACGACGCCGTTAATCGCAAGCAGCAATTAACGCCTTATGTACTACGACAGCAGTCAAGTGGTAAGCGCAAAGCCACATATCAAAGCTGAGTTACACCCCCCAACAGAGCCATAAAGAAAGCCAAGGCTCGGCCATGATCCTATCCGGTGGATCTATTAAACCTGTTTAATCTGTCAGCTGCATGGACGCCGCCCCATAGGACGCAGAAAGAGGGTTACACGTATGGACGAGGTGGTTGGCTATCAGTTCGTCATACGTGCAACCGCGCCCCAACACTTGGGGCCTGATCGGCAAAACCGATATCAGGGCGATATCGCCTGTACTCCAATATAAAAGTACATAGGGTTAGGGTTAACAAGAGCTCAATGCAAGGTCAAAGGTTAATTTAACAAATGTACTGCCAGGACCCCTGCCACAGCTGTCGCCAGCTGTGTCTTACTAACACTACTGCTGGCAACGACTCTTTCAAAAGTGCGTTTATTTCTACGCGGCCTATCCCGATATCTTTAGAGTTCTATAATATAGAACTGAAATCATGATGTACCCTCCTGCTTTTGGCCTAGTGTGGCACGATTTGAGTTTTTTGGTACTTGTGGCTGGTGCTTGGTCCATGATATCGGTCCTTATTCAAAGTGTCAAATGATATCCGCGGTGCCGATCAGGCCCTGCTTTATTTCCTTGCAAACTCGGTGCGGAATACCCCGTTAGAAGCAGCAGTCTAAGGTTGTAGGCTTAGATGATTGGCAGTTGCTGGTCAGGTATCTATCGAAAGTGCGTTTATTTCACTATGTTGATTCGCTTCTTACATGTGGGCTCGGTGTTCACTGCCCCGCGGGACTGACATGGCTATCTGTCATTTTCAGCCGGGACAAGTACCTACCCCTCTCCATCAGCTTACTGCTGTACCTCTCTTGACGGTTATGTACTCGATGAAGACTTTCAGATACCATCTTTTCATTGTCATTTCGACTCATTCATCAGGTGATCCAGATGGCACACGTTGACATGAGCATTTCATCGACCGTGTCTCTGCGGAACGGGAAGAGCCGAATGCCTATTCTAGGCTATGGTGAATACCAAATTAGCAAAGCCGATTGCACTCGAGCATGCCTCCACGCCCTCTCCGCCGGGTACCGGCACATTGACACCGCTCAGCTTTACAACAATGAAGAAGCAGTCGGTGCTGTACTGCAGCAGTCCGGCCTTCCCCGTGAGAAGATTTTTGTCACAACCAAAATTCGCTACCCTCGTCTCGGAAAGGGAAAAACACACGAGCGTGCTCTGCAGAGTGTGCATAGAATAGACCCTCGTCCAGAGGGCTATGTGGATCTGTTCCTCATACATTCGCCGGATGTTCTCAAACCCAAAGGTCGAAGGGAACTCCGGACCGCACTGAAGAAGTTGTACGAGAACGGACGTGCTCGAGCGATTGGGGTTAGTAACTATGCACCTGAACATCTTTAAGAGATGAGAAGTTATGCTACGATTTGGCCGCCGGCTGTGAACCAGATTTTGGTAAGTCGTTACTGGACAAGATGTGTATTGATCACGAACACCGTTGGAAGGGTCTTAACATCACGTACAGTTGCATCCCTGGACGCAGCAGCGTGAAACGGTGGAGGATTGCTGTAAGCACGGCATCGTGCTTCAGGCTTTCAGTCCACTAGCAAGAGGAGTCAGACTCCAAGACCCCACAGTGGCTGAAATTGCAGCTCGGCTCGCGAAAACTGTGGCTCAGGTTCTAATCCGTTACTCACTTCAGAAAGGCTGGGCGCCGTTGCCCAAAAGCGAGAACGAGGCACGAATCAAGGAAAACGCCGACATATTTGATTTCAATCTGTCGGAGAACGACATGGCGGTGCTTAACAGCCTAGACCGCGGGCGAAAACCACGTTTCGAGTACCAAAATCATGATGGTTAGATTATGTTCAAGAGCGAGCTCTGCACGATTCGGCATCTATCTAGAGCCTTCATATATTGCTAGGGTTTAAATTTAACATTGTTAGCTGTCTATATTCCACGCCTCAGAGTTCTAGAATAGTATTTCATTCTTTACCAGCTAAAATAGACTATTAAGATTAGTTATGCGTGCTAGACGCTGTAGTTGGTTATATTTGCTGTGCAAGATGATCATCGTTGCGGGAACACGGTGATATTGTTGCACCGAGCGATGGAATGAGCTACGTACTGAGGCTTACCAGGGATGTTGCCAGCTGGAACACACAAAAGTATAGGCTGTGGAACAACGTGGATAATCAATACCCTGTCAACTGGAACACGGGGGCACTACCTACTAGAAGGCAAAAAATGATAAGTATCTGTCCTCGACGATGTCGGGGACCGCAAAGCCAATGGCAATGGTCATTGCGGTTTCACTATGTGTATGTTGAGGTATGGGAATTCGAGAAAGCCGGCTCGACCACTGTGAATAATGATGAAGAAGAGGAAGAAGGGCTGCCAGGCTGGCGGGGTTAGCCCAACCAGGAAGGATGGCCACAGTTGGCTGCTACAAACACGGCTGCTATTGGTGTCAGACTGTCCATGTTAAAAGATGATTCTGATCATAGTCCAATGAGGCTCAGTGGATAGAATTGAAGGCAGACAATTTGATAATCACCGACAGGGCTAAGTGTAATAGGAACGTAGTCAGTTATTAGCTACAGGGAGGATCAGGTCAGGTGCTGCGCAGCCATGCATGATCAATTATAACCCGCCACCAAACAACGTGTCTCTGTTTCTCTTCTTCTCTTCACATTCTCTCTTTCACCTTATAAAACCTTTCGTACATCTATTTCTAGTAAAATTGATATTGACGGCTCGCATAGTAAATACCAAGCGATGCCTTTTGTTCTTTTGACTTGCCACTTTATCTTTTACGCCGCTTCATTTTTGATGACCTCAATCAAGTTCATCACATGCCTCTGATAGTCACTGACAAAAACGGAAGGTTGGTGACGTCGGCTTTGCTACCTAAGCGTTCCACCCGATCTATCCTCGTCCGTTTTTGATGATTCACACTTGAACGCGTGGCGTCGTTCCGCTGACCTCTGGGCATTCCAGTGAGAGATGGTTTCTTGCATGGGAGGCGCTCCTGCGATAGACTCGAAGCAACGGCTCGACGGGGTGGTCGAAAGAGGTTTACGGCCGGGAGCGAAGCCATGGGGCTGCCTGTTTTATCCGACAAGGAGGGAACGTCGAGGTCGGCGTAATGCGGCCGCTTCGTTCCGGTGCTACCACAATTGCCTTGGGTGTGTGCGGATGCCTGTAAGGCTACTGGCAATCCAGCGGCCTCTTTGACAGGTAGTGGAGATTTGGATGATTGAGCAGCGACGTCAGCGATGTTCTGCCTTCGATTCCCTTTGTGTGCTCCCGGTTGTTGCTTGTGGCTTTGGGGAGATCCCATGTGTGCCTGCAAGAAACTCATTTGTGGGATTTTCTGACGTGTATTCTTGCGCGATATGCTCAATGACTGTGTTGTTACTGTCTCTGACACCGAGACTAGAGCGCCGTCAAGAACGGGGAAACAGGGTGGCTCCGTGACTTTCCCGGTCGTGGAACCAAAGTGGGGATTGTGTCGACTTAAGCCGCCGTAGGATGCCGGGATGTTGAAGTCGTCGGTAGCGGGGCCCATGCACCACCCAAAGCCGAGGTCGATGCCGGCATCAAGGTAGAGAGGCGTTGAGAGCGGGAAATCGGCGACCGTGAGGTTGGGTGTTGGCTGGAGGCGGTAGGACTCCAGCGTGGCGGTCTCGTGATTTTGTAAGACGTTTGCCTGGAGCTCGTGGGAAGTGAAAAAGTCGGGGGAGAAGGACGCATCCAAGTCTGGCCAGAGGGGCCATTGTTCCGGTGCCTGAAGCAGCAACAGCTGGTTCTGCTCCATTGCTGCGTTTGGCTTTGCTTTTCCTGGCGACTCCAGCCAAGAGGTGTATGTGGAAAGAGTACGAAAAAAGCGCGTGACAATACAGCTGTGGATGACAACGTCGTCGTCGTCGTTGTCGGCGGCGGCGGCGGCGGCGGCGGCAAGGAAAATGAAATCTCAACAAAGACACACAAGCAATCGGGACAGAATAAGTGAACAAAGGGGACTCGGGATTGTCTTTCAACTTTTATTTCCTCCTCCCTCCGATGGTTCCCTCCCCTCCAACTCTCGCCCACAACATGATACCAGTGTGACATGGCGAGGCACGTTTGAATGTTCCTAGGGAGCTTATCAGAGCCCTAATATGTCAGCTGTTGAGCGTCCGTGTCCCATTGGCCCACGAGGCAGTGCGAACCGCTCGCATGACAGCCCATAGATGCAGGTTGGCGAGGAACAGAAAAATATGGCCAGAAAGACAAGTCGAGCTTGCCCAGCAGCGGCAGAGTCAATTGGTTCTTACCTTGCTTCAAACGCAACGGATCTATCCCTGAGACGAGAAGGGCTGTCAGCAAGTGCAATTGAAATGTCAGAAGAGACAAGATTGAGCTGCAAGGCGGCAATCTCCACGGCGACCCGCACCACTGATCTCTTCAGCATCACCAAGTTGTGTAGTGGACAGCTAAGCATGGCTGCCTTGGCACAACCGAGGTGCGTGTGCCATGCGGAGGTCTGACGGGAAAATGGGCGGCGCAACGTAACGCAACACGCCCGGACGGACAGTAAGATTGAAGTTATACGGCCGTAAACGAATGGGGTTCGGCTGAGTTGGAGTGGAGGCGTCCCGAAGCGGTGAGCAATGCGTGATGACGGGAAGCTGAGGTTGCGGGTTGAATGCTGCGAAGCCGAGGTATGGGGATAAGATAGATGGCAATGGAAAGGGTGTATCTTCTCGATAGGGAAAAGTACACGATGTATCCTTACCTATACACCCGTTAGACTACGGCAGCCTGCAAGGCCAACGGTATCTCCACTCACACTCGGGATCATTGAGACCATTCGCCCGTCTCCAAATGGCCACAGCGCGTAAGGAGTACATGATACGTAGTATGTGTTGACAAAGGACGTGGCAGCACCTTGATTCTGCCATGCATGCACACTCTAGGACATGAATTTGCGAATACGCAAACAAGGGTTGACATCTTGAGTAGTCTTGTGGCGGTCAGCGGCTGGCGGCGGCGGCAGAGCGGAAGTCGTTCGGAATCGCTTTCGTTGGAAAGGCAAAAATGGAGGAGGCAAGGAGACAAGGCGAAAAGAAACTGTAGATTAGGATGAGAAAGTGCGAGCGGGGGAGGCATTGTTGACGGGACAAACAGGAGCAGGAGGCAACAGAAAGAGGAAAGAGAGGCAAGAGTTAAGAGGCAGGAGGTACGAGATAAGAGGCAAGAGACAACAGGCAAAGGCAGGTGCCAACCCACGTACTGTTTCCCCTCTCATCCACAAGCTGCAGTCACTAAGTAGGTATTAAATTACTACCCGTACTCTCCGCCATCAATTCCTGGTCCAGCCCCACTATCTCCTCATCTGCGCACGTGGCTACTTAGGTACGTACCCCGCGAACTCCCAGCAGCAGCATGTTCCCCAATTCCTTTCTCACGGACCGTCAGCAGGATGTTGCAGGTGAACAGGATATGGCGGACCAATAGCGAGCACACTGTGTTACAAGCTTTGAAGGGTTGAGAAAAGTTTCTATTACTTTTAGTGTCTTGGGTAACACGAGCTTTTCCTGAACCTCATCGAAGCCCACGAAATGCTTTTGTGGCGAGTCTGGTAAGACGAACCCAGAGCCCATCAACCCTACGTGCCTGTACCGAAACAAGTGTTCCTCCAAACTGCCCACTCCCGTTTTCAATTCCGTGTCCGCTGTAATGATTCCTACCCCGGGGCTCCTGGTAGTGTCGACCCCAAAGGAACCGGTCCTCATCCAAGTCCTCGTCCGTATCGTCCCATTCTTGTTTTGCCTTGTGCCTTTGATTCTGGCTTGACAGCTTGCTGTGCGGGTGATTTGTCGTGGCATCGAGAACAAGACACCTGCAACCTGCTTTATAGGCCTTACAAGCCTTCGAAGAAGGGTAGTCGGGCTGCTGCAGCCCGTGGTGTATTGTTGAGATTCGTCATCATCATCAGTGTCTACTATGTCTGTGGTCGGAGGGGATAGTAAGGGACCGATACTGGAATTGGTCAGTCTCCACGTCATGTAGTGCTGAAGAGAGATAAGGATTGCTACTTAGAGCATTGTAGCTTCGGCATTGCTCTGAGGTAATTGGAACAGCATCCGCTCGCGTAGCTGTCTACAATGCCACTTTGACGATAGATTTGCTCAATAAAAACGCTCACAGTGGCATGTGCTGAATTTGTTCGGGCACGTATTGGTTGTTGCGACACGAGTCGAAGGTCTGTCACGTGTTGGTGTGACAAGCAGTCGAGAAGGTCAAGGCAAAATGCTCTTGGGTATTCCCCCTGTTTGGTTGGGGGTGGTTGACGTAATGACAGATGAAATAGTTGATGTATTGGGAAAGACAGAAGAACTAACCAACGAAGAAGTAGGGAGACGAAAACTGTATACACTCTCTTTGAGGGCAACAGTATTCTTCTGGAATTGAAAATACAGCAGCGTTCTCTAGAATCCTTTCTAAACACTTCTCCGGCTTTCGGGGCCCTGCAACTTCTCTCCTATATTTTGAATTGGCCAACAGAGAATGCGTCTTTCTCCGAGTAATATGCTTACCTCCCTACCTACTAAAGCCTAGCTAGATCATTTGGTAAATGCCGATTCCAAGTTTTTGGGCCCCGTGCATGGTACTAAGTACATAGTTCAGTATTTATTATTAAAACTTCCAAAGATAGTGCCTTCATCATCTGGATCAGCGACATGTCAAAAAGCATTGACGATTGACCGATATCATTATTGGCTGCAATTTGGTTCTCTTTGTCATTACAGAAGTAGTTGCAGCCTGCTCCAACACCTACAGCGATGCTGCATCTCATGGTCCCTCTTGCGCTTCACGATTTGTTATCTGGACAAGGGAGAGAAGAAAATAGAATATGGCAGACTGGCAGTCAACAGTGGAGAGCAGATGCAAGTTTTCCTGTCCCGTGTTGGGCCTTAGCTCTAGCAAAATAGCCCAGGCAAGCTTGTGTTTCGTAAGGCCAGACCTAAAGGCGAATAGACGTCATGAAGAGGGATGCGAGCTTGGTCTTGAGAGAAGACTAGTCACATGATTTCGAGGCCGACTCAATGGCAGTGGGGTAGTTTGCCAATAGCGTAAGACTGTGGTGACTTCTGCCGTTGGAATTATAGAAGTGTCTAGCATGAAGGAGCAAAAGCGCAGGTGAGGAGGACTGAAGCAGACCTCTAACGGTGAGGGTAGTAGGGTACGTGTAACATATCATGATTGGAAGAGGAGGAGAGAAAGAGTTGAGCGTGCCGCTCATGTCAAGGTGTTGCTGGTGATTGCGGAGAGAGGAGGGTGGAGACTGTGGTAGGTGGGTCGGTATCGGGATACAAGAATCTGAGAGTATTAATCTTGAGGGCTCGAGATGAAGACGGGGTAAAAAAAGGAAAAATAATTGCGTTGTGATGTGTGGAGGTGAAGTTCATTGATCTGCCTACCTTACGCAAGTCAAAGATGCGGGTGCCCTCTACTTCTGGTACTAGGTTAGATCTCCTAGCGTTAAAGAATACTACTACTACTACTAGTACTACTACCTACATACCTAGTGATCCTTGCTGGGAAAGGCACTATGAAGTTATGAGAAGATGAGCGTGACTCCACTATTGTGACATTTACACGTGCGATGCTTTCGGGTTCCTGTTCCGCCACGCTACCGACCGAGTGCCAGAGTCAAAGCGGCATCGCGCGACCAATAGTCATCCATATGCAGGCCGAATACAGTAATAGGGCAGGGTGCAGCCCCACCAAAGATAATAGAGTTCCTACTCCTGCTACCCAAGCTCTTAGGAGACATTTATATAGCTCTTGTGTGGCCAACTCCCCACCTCCGTATTTGCACTAAAGCAACAAGCTGGGTAAGGGTGGTCCGATATAGTGCAAATAGCTATATCTCATGCCTCCGAGAAGGGTATCTCCCTGATAGAGATGATACGTATCATTTTATGCATGATAATGCCCCTATTCACAATGCTTCTTTAACTATAGAGTGGCTCTTACAGCAGGGTATTTCCTGCCTTGACTGGCCTCCATACTCACCAGATTTGAACCCTATTGAGCACGTTTGGCGGATGATGAAGAATAACCTGCGAAACCTATACCCAGAAGCATTCTCTCTCAAAAAGAATCAATTGGATTTCAATCAATTCAAGGAGCAATTAGAGGCAGCGTGGGAAGCTATTCCTCAGGAGAAGATCTTGGCTCTTATTTAGTCATTACCAAATTGACCAAGGGCTGTAATCCGAGTACAAGGTTGTTATACATGATACTAAAGAGCAAACTTTTAGCTTTAATTTTAGTATAGTCTTACTATATAAAGTCAAAAGTTCATTGTTTTGTTGCTAGTTGAAGATAGGGACGCTTGGGCTCAAACTTTTCGGTCTCCACTGTACATAACAAGGTTCAGGGTTTACGGGTTCGGGAACTCAAAAGCTTGGTTAGACCCCCAGCCATCAATGAGTCGCTACTAGCCTACTGCTTTCAAGGATCAAGGAGAAAAAAGTCCAGTACACCGACCTAATGGTTACTGAAAGCATGCTCCTGGTACTCCCTACACCTCAATGACTCGTGCCGCATCGGATATCAGGTACTGGGATAGGGACGAAAAGTGGATTAACACCATGGCGCAGCTTTCAGCCGATATCTCCTGGCTAATTACGGATACATAATTCCCTATGGCGTTGTCAAAACTTCCAAAATAGCTACGGATCAGCAATGCCGGCTTAGATTGCGCGGCAATAAGTAGTCTTTAGCTTTTGACGTTACTCAATGAATACGATGTCATCTCTCCTTTGTAAAGATTATAACGCTGGCTAGTGCCTCTTTGCTGTAGGAGTCTTCTCTCTCTCTACAGTATGTTTAACTAACCACGACGGCTGTTGTTCTATACAGTTTCTCTGGGGCCTTTCACTTAGATAGAGCAAGGGAAAGATGAAAGTATTGTTTGTCTCAGGCGTGGGGAGGGCGTGCATCCTCCTCCTACCTGTAATTTCCTGTCTTGGCCAGGTCTGTGCCTAATTCCACCCTGGCCTGGTAAGCCGAGAGAAGAAGCTGGTACGGACGATGCTACAGCACCGTCAGCGTCGCCAAGAAGACAATCAAGCCAGCCAAGCATGCATTGAGTCTGAACCTGTGGCCATCACGGCCCCTAAAGAAAATATCTGGAGTGACCTAACCCGCTCCGAGACAGCTTCGGTCGTAGGATGGCTACTTGCTTAGCCCGACCTTAATCTGATATTGACATCAAATGCAGCCATTTGGGATAACAAGATGTAAGTTGGTAGTTTCGGTTATCGGGAGAGTCTGGAATGCTAACGCTGCAGGATTTAGAGCGCTTGTTGAGCTGCTCACACCGAATAAAACAGATGTGGTGGCCTATCTTCAGGGTGGTGCCGCGCCATAGCGACACGCGCATGTCGTTCTCGACGTTCGCGCTACGCTGGAGCCTTACTAAAATGACATTATAGTCGGCCTGCTACTAATCACCAACCTGACGACTTGGAAGCCTTATGATTATATTCTTACTCGAAAGACGGACGGCAAGGTCCCCAATCTGGGAGCAGACATGTTCGTAGTTTTGAATGAGTGGATTCCCTTAATTGGGGCTACTATCGCCGACATTACTATGGACCTATGGAACGGTACTGTAATGGGCCGTGATAACGACACGCTGTACGTCTGGAGTATGTAGCGACTTTTCACCTCTGCTCCATTTGGAGTTGCAACCTCTTTGATTGTATCTGATGCTAACTTTCTTCAGGTACTGCTCATCCTTGGCAAGAGGACGGCTGCACCTGTCGATGGGATAAGTTCTGGAATACTGCAATGGATGAATCCGACGTCTAGTTATTGCTCCTACTGGGCTTGTACTTTAAGAGTGACGTTACTGGACGCGATATGTTAAAATGGAAAGTCGAAGGTTGGTTTTATAACAACGTCTTCTACAAGACAACTGAGAAATTCCGCACGGCATGCTGGGCAGGTCTCCCCAAGATACCAGCGAACTATGAGGGAAACTGGACTAGAACGGACCAGCAAGGTCCCGTCATGCCTTATGACACGATGTCGCCGCCTGTGTCTGTCGCTCCGTCTGGTTCTCGCTTCGCTGTTGATTAACAGCGAAAGTACTTAGAGTGGATGGATTTCAGCTTCTACATTGGCTTTCGGCGCGATACCGGCGTAGCGCTTTACGATATCCGTTACAAAGGCGAGCTCATATTATATGAACTTGGTTAATAAGAAGCGTTAGCTTATTACGCTGGCGAGGATCCAGTTCAGTCTAGCACGGCGTATCTGGACTCGGAATTTGACTTTGGCGTTTATGCCTTTAAAGCTGGTGAACGGCTATGATTGCCCCGATTACGCCACTTATTTGAATACGAGCTTTTACAAATCGAGTCAACCCATATTCACCTCAGCAGCATTTTCCTGTTTGAGTTCATGGGCGATTACCCGGTACAACGCCATTCTAGCAGCGACTATGTTTCCGTTACGAAAAACACATACTTTAGTCTACGGTTAGTATTGACTATAGGCAACTACGACTACATGTTTACGTATTCTTTCTTCTTGTTCACTATACATGAAGGCCTTAGTGGCAGCATACACGATCACGTCCTTAATTTCAAAGCTGACTTCGATATTTTGGGTAAGTGCCTCCTACTTGGAACTTTGTGCTGCCAAGGGCTTTCTTTCTCTCGCATTGACTTGGATGTTATGTTAATGCCACCCACTAGGAACCAAGAATACAATGGAGCTTATCCAGAACGTTCCAGTGACTCGCGTTTTCCCTTGGTCTAATGGAAAACCACGCAACACGATGCAGTTGCAACGCTCCTTCATTGAGACCGAAAACGATAGCCGGTTCAACTAGGACAGCGCAACCCAGGTGATTGTCGTGAACACGGACGAGCCAAATCAATGGGGCGAGTACCGGGGATATCGGGTCGCGCCCACCTCAGGAACGGCCCACCTTACGGTGTTGAACTCGTGGACACTCGTCGAAGCGGCACATTGGGCCGAGTTCGATGTGCAGGTGACGCGGCAGAAAGACACGGAGCCCCTTTCTGCTCACCCCTACGACAAGAATGCAGTCGATGAAACCCCAATTAACTTTGACCGCTTTTTCGACGACGAATCGCTGAGGCAGGAAGATCTGGTCCTTTGATTGAACCTCGGCATGCACCATGTGCCCCACACGGGTGATTTGCCTAACACTGTCTTTACCTTAGCCCACTCAGGCATCACATTCATGCCGAGTAACTACTTTGATATCGATCAAAATCGCCGCACTGTCAACATGGTGCGCATCGACTACTCAAATAACAACGCAACTTCCATCAAAACATTCGGACAGGATGAAGCCACATGCAGCCTCAAGACCAAACCCCCTAATCTCTGGGACTATAGGGGGGAGGTTGTGGTGAAAAGAACTCCCGTTTTAGCCTGATTATAGGTCTTTTACGTCCCCGGACACTTAGCTTTTGCTAGGATCAAATTTCCTTTTCCTTTTAAGCTACATAGACCTCAGACCTGCAGGTTTCTCTTCTTATTACAACGTAGCCTACCAGGACGGTCAATTAATCAGTTAATACACAATAGAGCGTTCGCTATTCTTTTGCTTGCTGCTGTTGTGCCTTTCGTACTAAAGATCTTGCAGAGCCCATGGCGGACAACGCCCAAGATCAGCTTCAACGTTGAGAATCTTGGTTGTGAGCTCCTATGGTAACTGGGATGACGTTCAATTCCATAAATGCTCCGATACTAACGGGATGGGGGTAGGAAAGATATTATGGGATAGGGTAGTCCATATTAGGCTACGTGGCAGCATAATTCACATCGAAAGTAGTGCCATGGTGCTTGTTTCATTGTTGTCTTTCCGGAAACAAACACGATAGTTACCAAATGAAGAAGTTGAGCTTGCTGTTAACTACTTGTATTTGCCCATCTTTAATCCGCCGGGTGAGAGAAAATGAGGGAAATTGCTCGAAGCTTCACTTAACCTCAAACCTCCTTGAATCATCAGATGGAAGCTTCTGATACCATTGTCCTTCCAGGTCTCGCAAACCTTACTTTATCAAGAATCAAACCGGGGATCAGGAGCAACTACGGTAAGAGGATGACCTTTGCTTACTTGAATGCAGCAGTCAATGTAACAGGTCGATGGGCATTATGCTTCGTGGATATTCTATCAATGGTGCAAGCAGCACTATGTTGAGAAACACAATTTCCTTCCATTTACAGACTTGTTGAGCGAATTCGACCTATGTAACCCAGATTATTGCGCGTCTAACATTCCTTGTACGCTACAGTGACCTCCGTTTTGCTGTCAGTGGAGAGCATAGTTACGGGGTTATGATTCAAGACGCACAAACAGTAATTGAAATGTTCCTTGTCCCGAATGTAAGATGGTATAGTATGGTCTATCTGATGTTCCTTGTACCTGCGGTACGGCATGCGCATACTGTAAGCGCAATGAGTGAGGTGCTGTTCCCACGTGATGAATATGACCGGCTCATTTCCGCGCAGGACCAACTCTTTACTTATCTCCTTGGTGGCATTCTTGTTGAGGAAGTACAGCCATCCATGATTGCCAAACTCCTTACCTAGCTCGGCATCATAGCAAGAATTAGGGACCCACCGCAGCCTGGTCAGTTTATAGTGACAGCCGAGTGCTGTGGCCTCATCTGGAGAAGAACCGTAATGATACTTGAGCAATTTTGGTACGTCATTGGGCTGGAGAAAGAAGATGACGATGACGATGATGGTGGTGAGAATGCCGGACAACCCAAGCATCGCCTAGAGTTTTTGTAGAGAGAACTAGTCACGATTCTACCTGGTTGGATGATCTATAGAGCTGGTAGGCTTTGTGGTAGGTACTTTGTTGTAGTCTTGACTCTGATCTTTGAGGGATATAGGGTTTGGTAGCGATTTCAAGAAGTCTATAGCGGAGTATTAATATGGCGACCGAAATTAAGCGATTGAAGAACGACAGGCTTCTAAACTCTTTGAATGATAATTAGGGTATTGTTTAGAATAGATTTATTATAGTATTCTTTAATGATGGAGACCAGCGATAGAAGGCAAGGGATGGCGCAAGTGCACGGCTATAGTCTTACGAGGAAGATTTAAGCATAGTGAGAAACCTCTGAAGGTCGTACCAATGTAGGCGCTGATATGTTAAAAGAACCTCCGAGAAAGATAGAACAACATTAATTAATGAGACGACTAGGAAGGTAACGTGATAAATTTGATTCTTGATTTTTGTCTTCTTTTTCTGGCTTATGGTCCCTTTCTAAGTGGCGGAGCGCCTCCCAATCTATCTATTCAGGCTCTCAGCCACTCCTCTGTAACCGAGCTAATAGCAGAACTTCCGAACACAAACATGGGACTGCATACAATACCGTATTGATATTTGTTAAACACATAATTGTAGGAGCTTCTAATCTATATTCCACCTTACACAGTGAAACTGAAGGTGATTATGTTGCTGAAGTCCTTCGTCCCTTTCCGTATGTGGTTGCAGCTCCACGTTTGTAACTGAGGGATAGTAACGTGATAATTTCAGCTGTATAGACAGTGTTTGCTGTTTATCTTATGCTTGTGATTCATCTTGTCTGGCTGCTTAGTGTTGTGTGTGTAATTCTTTTTGGGTTCCATACCCTCAGTCTAATTCATAACGACGACTATGGGCATTGTCAACAGGCACTTTGAACTAATCTTAAGCCTTATATCAAGGCATAGACTATGAAGCTATGTCAATCCTATAAACGCAAGACTTATCTTATTGAACATTAATGAGTTATCTGTGTATAAAACCGGCTGTCTTGGCGCCTGAGTAAGCTGTACTCTGATGTTACATAACATGCATCCAGTATCCCGTTTCGTGAAGGCGCAATTTCCATGTTTCGCCGCCTGCAGCCTTGCCCACGCGCACCGCACACTCAAGGTCTTCCTTGCAAGTAGACCTTGCCACAGCCTACTTGTGCACTCTTGAGAAATGACGACATGTATGGGTATGAGACTTGAGTAACCATACGACGGTCAAGCGTCTTCCAGTCGTAGTTACAAGATACCTACCTTGTGTATAATATGCTGTTGTACTCGGAGCGGTTGATACCCCACTGAACCATCATATGACCACAGTGATATGTATGAGGGAAGCTTGAGGTCCAATTGTCCGTCGGGAGGTCCTGCATAGCCGCGCGCTGGTATTTTTGCCAGATCAGAACGCAGTGAGACATGTGCTGGTTCAGCGTCACATAGGCCCAACTCAATTTGCCCTCCGGTGCCTCTTCCTTTGATAAGAGATCTGTACCCTCAGCATTACGCGAGTAGCCCCAATCCTTTTCGTTCCATAACTCGTCGAGTTCCCGGTCATAACAATCGGGTGGAGTACATGCAAAGTTGTGTGATTCGAAACGGCACCCTCTTGCAATTGCCTCATCTGGAGTGTGGCCGCATTCGGTCACGTTGACGGTACGTTGAAGACTGGATCCACTTCGGTAGGGGATTGCCATAGCTGTGGCTGTAACAAAACCAACAGCAAGCAAGCAGATGTAACGAGGCTTTATTAGGCGTGAGAATGGATGTGTTGGGGGTCATATGAGTGTCCGTCTTCGGAACTGTCGAAGGAGATTGTTTCAAGCCGCTTTAAATAGTGTACTCCATGCATTTTCGGTTTCTTATTAGACCACCTGCCGTAATTTTGACCAACTGACGCCTTCAACCGGTCAATAGTTAATGGGAGACTGTAATATATTTCATCCAAGCATACTGGCAAGTTTTGAAGACGAAGGTGGAAACCAGTTGTCCTAAACCTCCGTTCCTGTACCCTTATCGGAACTTATTCGCACCACTGGCACAGGCCCCCGCATTCGCACGGACGGAAGTTGCTCATGTAACCATTGAGAGTGTGCGAGAACCGGCGTCGCAACCCTACCTCAATCAGGTTGTTGCATTGACGACGACCGCAAGAGTTGTGAGCCTAGCCCTCCTTTCCAAGCTTTCTCTGGTGTCTTTTATCAACATCACACCGAAACACCAGACGCTACTCGATTGAACTGAAGGGAAATGGGGTGTCTGTTAGTAAAATCAGGGCACGACTTCTCACCCTGACAATGTAGAGCGACTTCTTTCTAGACAGCTAAGCCTCATTTAATAATTAATAGTACTCAAGGCCAGATTGAGGATAGAGCCATATGATGTTATGATAGCTATTTTAGGTATATTTTACTCGCTAATAGTGGTTTTGTTCTTACGTTATTGATATTTTAGACGGCTAGTACACTCTACACAGAGTATGTTCCCCTAGACAGGCTTGATGAAGCTGTCTTGCGACAGCGCTATTGCAGTATGTACCTCACAAGCTCCTTTCCACGCCGAACAATCGCATCTGGTTCTGAAGCTTTGCATCGGGTGGGCGACACAACCCCAGCAGCCACTACATTTTTGAGGTTCTTCCGATTCAAGTAGAGCGATTTGGTTAACGACAGCATCTTTTGTTATGCAGAAGGCAAAATCTTTTCTTGGAAAATACACGATTTCTTGTTTAATGAAACATTATGTTTTAGTGCCGGTGCCTCACCATCGGGAACGAAGGCACTCCACAAACAGCATGCAACTCATTTCAGCACAACACTAGAGAAAACGGCATCCCTCTTCATAAATGCTGCTAGCCTTGATAGAGGCGGAACACGACCCCGACGCTACACTACAAATCCTACACGCTGACGCCAGAAGTCTCCAAGTAGACATTACATAGATTTACAGACTCTGCGTTGTGCAAATCATTCTCCTTCGAAAGATGAAAACGTACACCTGTCACCAATCTGAACCGTTAATGAAACGTTTTACATTCTCACCGGCGCGTAGCTGTGCCGAGGTCAGCAGAACATGCGTATCCTTTTAGACGAATCAGCAACAGTAGATAATAGTCCACAAAGTTTCAAAATGACTCTTCCATAGTTAGAGAGAGCCGCACCTCGGTGCTGCCAGTTTTGCTCGTGACATGCAACAAACCGGCTAGTTCCGACGCCCGTTTCGTGCCATCCTGTCTGTGCTGCGCACTGTGATGATATCAACAGTGCAACAGGGGTTTCACTTTTGTGCTGTATTGTGCTATGCATGGTTGAAACAATAGGCCCATCATTAAGACTTAGCTTTCCTTGATCCACAACTAACAAAACTTTCATACTGTGCGTGATAAAACCATCCGCAGGCTCTACATTTAATATTATAAGCGGTGAAAACTATTGAGTTCTAGGCAAACTGTAAAGCAAACTCAATATTAAGGTCTGCTGGCGTAAGAGCTGTCTTGCCCTTGGCATATGAAACGTTCTTTATTTTGTACTTGCAGTACATTAGGTTTGGCATATTGTCTGTGGAAGTACGGGAATTTAAGTCCTAATTACCCGGCTGAGGGAACCAGCTACACGCTTATCTATGAAAGAAAGTTCGGATGGAATTCTGTGTGAATGGTGATTACCATATGTCTGGGTATAGTTACAAACAGTAATTACTCAATGCAGACATACTTCAGCCTAGTATCCCATTTGAGTGCCAAGTGACCTCACATAACCTCAGACCAATAAGAATTCAGCAATCCAGGCTGAGTGTCCAATAGCTGTTAGTAACTATTCACATAGACCCATTTTTGGGTTATGTGAGGTCACTTGGCACTCAATGGGATACGAGTCATGGCTTTTAACATTAAATAAATGTTTTACTTTCTGTTAAAACTGAGATACTGTTAAGCGGATATTCCATGAAGCTTAGCCTCTCGGAACAAATTTTGGTTGAACACAGGTTTATCGTTATACAGAAACGACTTTATTATCAGTACGGTAGATATATACCTTAATTGGACGAGACCTAAACAGCACATTTGAATATGTACTTCACCCCGTGACTCAGACATTACCGTATGATGAGGAACAGCTTCATGTAATGAAAAATGTCCAACAAGCACTTCTCACATATCACGGAAAACTCATATTCTCCCCCTTCTAAGCCTCGGCGTCAGGTTGTGGGCGCTTTTACTTATTATAACTCTTCAGATATTCCCAAACTCAACGATCTCACCATTATCGAGGGAACCTCGCCAGATAACAAGACATACTTTCTTCCAGTCACCGACCTGCGGTCACTGCCAGCCCCTCTATCCAGCTACAATCACGAACAACATGGGTTCCAAATTGTCCGCCAAAACCTACCCTTCTCACCGTCCTCTGACGTAGTCCACAACCAGAAAATTATGGCTAACCAGTACTACCCTTCTATGACTGCACTATTGAAAAAGACCCTTGGGGTGCGCTCTGCCATTGTACGTAAGCACTCTCTTCGCGACATACCAGACTGGGCAGCTGTGGGAATGAACCCAGAAATCGGGTTTGAGATTGATTCCCTCGCCCCGTTCAGCATCGCACATTCAGACTATACCCCGGCAGGGGCCCGAGGACACTTCCGCGCCATGAAGGAGCCTGACTGGTTTGTCGAGAACAACCATGATGAAGACGGATGCACGACGGCAGCCGAACGAGAGGATTTCTTCAGACTACGACGGGACATTATTGATGCGGAGGACCGCGCCATTGCAAAGGCCGGGCTCGACCCCGAGGTGCAAGTGGAAGAGGGTCAAAAGCTGCCTACAGGTGGCCATTGGGACTGGGATGGCGCCAACTATGACGGGCCTCGGTACGCATTTTTCAGCATCTGGCGAGCCTGGGAAACCGTTAAACGGGATCCGCTGGCCATAATGGATATGAGCCAGCCTGTCTCACAGAAGGTCGAGTATGCTCCCTTAACCCGGACGTACCGAGATCGACCGGGGTGCGTGCCATTCTATTACAGTCAGAATGCGCTGATCCGACCTCTGAGTCGGGCAAGAAGGGACTCTGGCTATTGGGAGGGCAGTGATGGTGATGTGGAGAGTGAGCCAGCTTGGTGCTACCTGAGCGAACAAACGCCCGAGGAAGTGTATCTTCTCAAATTCTACGACAGCGAGGCCTTGGTGCGCAGGGGCAAGGGCAAGGACGAGATTCAACTCATGTGTCCGCACACTGCCTTCCATATCGCCGGACAGGAGAAAGAACCAGTTCGTCGTAGTTGCGAGCTGAGGGTCTGGTGTATATGGTGAGAGATGGTAGAACAATGCTTCATGACATGCAGGGATTGAATTCAAACTTTTCGGGGCTAGACCAACGCAACAAATTATTTAGATGTGTTACATTCATTCAGGACATTCGAAACACTGAATAAGGATCTCAAAGCTTGCACCTCCATACACAAGTAATTCCTTTATAGACGACATCAGCGACTGTGGCAAAACAGCCCACCAGGGCGCAGCACATTACCCATCTCCTCAATATAAGAGAAATAAGTAAATCCATATGAAATTCTTGACCCATTCACTCATGAGATGTCTCACTTGTCAATTATATAACATCTCTTAATCCCCCGGTCATAATTTGACAAGGACAAGCAAGCCAAAGTGGTGTATCACTCAGTCCAGTGGTCCATAACGTGGGGGAAATTCAAACTCAACATGGGGCTTATCCTTCAACTCCTGTGGAACTGGTGGCATAACTTCCATTCCCTCCACCAAAATAACCTGTTGTCCGCTCTAGAATCGCAGTCAGCTTCAAATAAAACACGAAGAGGAAGAGAGCGTACTTACCGCAAAGTGGTGAATCATATGGCAGTGCAGCATGCTGACGGCAGGAAAATGTATCTCGTAGCGGACAACAACAAATTTCCCTTCTCCAGCGTAGAGAGTGAACCCATCACGACGTGGTGGGTTGACCAAATTGAAAAACTCGGCACCTCCATTCTCAATAGCATCCTCTGCGTCTTTCCAGTGGAAGCCCCCGTCGCCCTGGCCGATAACCCATACCTTGTGGTTGTGTTTGTGGAAGGGGTGGTTGGAGTCAATGTCGGCACCATTTTCGATAATCAAGTCAACAACCGAGCCGTTCCTGAGAATTCCATTAGACCAGCATGTCTTTCCACATGAATTATTATTCCACAAAATAGGAGGAACATTTTGACGGAAGAATTCATGCGGCGCAGCGTTTAGGACCCAAGTTGAAGGCCCCGTCTTGTCAACCATAAACTTCAGGGTGAAATCGGCCTTTTCAGGAGGTGGCCTAGGCGGATACGGGGCTAACTTCATTTCGTTCATCACCCTGTCTTTAGGGTTGACGACGCTGCCGTTAAGATGCAGCCACGGCTTTGTGTTAGGAAGCGTCTTGTTTGAATGCTGAGACATATCCTTTTCAAGCAGATAGGTTAGACTGACCATCTTGCTCAAGATGCACAAACTACAATATTCTTTAGAGTTAATAACATACCTTAGTAGTAGGATAACGGAGAATGCCGGCGCCTTGAATGATTTGCTCATAGCGAAGAGAATGCAATCTCAGGGCATACTCTCCGCTTGGTTTGTCTAATTTGACAAGTATGCTATAGAAAGTTCGTCATCCAATGAGTAAACAAGTATACGATATATAGCAGCTCTTACCTTGTCCTCTCTCCTAAATTCACATGCGTCCTCACTACCTTTTGTGGGTAAACAAACTCGCCATCAGCTGCAACAACCCAAAACTCATGCTCATCTAGGCTTATGGCAAGAGAGTGATGAGCTCCAGAATGAATGAAATTGATCCAGACCCATTGTTCGCCTGGATTCGCTTGCAACACCTCAAGCTCCGGATTTGTCTCGGTGCAATAATCAACATTTACATACTCATAGCCTGGCATCCGCCAAAGACACCCACGTTCATTCCGTCCGGGCCCGCCAGCATCTTCAAGTTCTCGGGCAGACTCACACCTGGTTCCGCCTCGCCCATTTAAAGTAAGGCTATTGGCGCAGGTGGGTATGTATCCGGTGTCTCGGAAGCGGATCAGATACATGTCCATTGGCTGATCGTTCCAATCAGCAATGATGATGTGCCTTGGGTTCTTCTCTGCTGCTTGCATAGCGCGAATATCGTCCTCCTTTTTGGATATGAGCTCGTATGGTCGAGGGCGCCAGTCAGCCGGCTTGATCCATAGAGGACCTCGTTGGCCCTGAATGGTATTGTCAATACGAATGTGTAGTCTGATAGTAATCATCGGCTTTGGTGACCAACGTCTGAGAATGCAGGCCCAAAGTGCCCATGATAAAAGTAGCTTCCATACTGTCCTTGGGGAGTAAACCGATATGTGTAGTTATCCCTCGGTTCAGTCGCCCACTATTTCCGAATGGTTAGAGAAACGCATGTCAATCCATCCTTATGCATGGAGATGGCAGACCTGAGTTACGCCCGGTACGCCGTCATTCCATGGTTCGTTAATTTGATAGATACCATGCCTATACAACTCCTTAGCTTTACGTACGGGACAGGTTCAGGTATTGTCTCAGCTACCAATGAATGGTGGTTTCTATTTGTAGTTGATTATCCACAAATGCCTCCAGTGTCTCATCCTCATCGACAGTGAGGACTGGTCCTGGCGTATCATTGTTAATAAGATAAGTTGGTCGACCATGCCCATCTACACTCGAGTCAGGTTGGATCATTCTCAATTAATCGCTGAGTACACATGGCAAAATACCCTGCTTGTTCCAGGCGTAGGTTAGAGTGAGATTGTATCGCCGGACTGCTTCAACAAGCCCAACATGTGTAAGCACAGTCGCTAAAAAGGCGCCTTTGAGTTGAACCATTTCAGCCGAAATTTTCAATATTGATTGCTCAATATGGATTGCTCAAAACGAGATTGCTGAAATTTACTATGAGTGACATCTCGGTTTTTACAATCCCCTTTATTTCTGTTCGTATGAATATATGATCACGCACAGTGTCCGACCATATCATAGAAACTGGCCTTTCACACATTCATCTATGACTTTGTTTCTAATGTATGGTGAAACTGACAAAATGCAGACTTTTTCTGCCTAGCATATGGTTTTAGTATCATGTTTTACCATATTGTAGTGCATAACCGGCTGATTACAGATCCGGATTATCTGGCCTGCTGGTTGTCCGGTCCCAAACTTTCGATCGAAGTTTTAGTCACTTTGTGTTTGTATATACTCTAGTTTTAATCGTACATGGGTCCGCGAAGTACCACCAACAGTGTCGGCGACGTTGGTAATGATGTTAACAATACACACTTACAGCAACCGAGTTGAATTGACGATATCAGAGTTAAACCTAATGCCGCTCTGAACTAGCCTCAAATTCTGAAACGCAACTTGGCTGCTTGAGGGAATAATAAGCGTAGAGTGGGTATTCTAAGTTTGCTAGTACCTATAACTGTTATTCCTATAGAAATTCAGGTTTTCTTTTAGAGTTATAACGGCTGCTAATACTAGGATAAAATAGGGTAAAGGAAATGTAAATCATACGAAAGGATAAGCATAAGATTTATGCTATTGATTACTACTCTCTTTAGGACCCAGGACCTTGAATTTACTCTTTCTTATACATTCTTGAGTCAGAGACAGCGTACTAACCAAACGACAATCATCTGATTTTGCAGCAAAGCCGATAGCCCATTCCATTACAAGCGAGGTCCAGCAAGACCGTCAAGGCTATCATTTAGAAACTCATTAACCTTTGCCGCATAGTTCTCCGCGTACTGCCAGATAGATGCATGGCCAGAACGCGGCCAGATAACCAGCATGCAGTTGGGGATGGCATGCATCAGCTCGTAGCTTCGAGGCGTCGGGACCAGGTAGTCGTCGTCGCCGGTCATGACGAGGACAGGCATGGTAAGCTCGTGCAGCCTGTAGAAGGAATGCTTGTTCTCATCGCCAGGAGCACACCAGTGCTTGATGGACCCCAGCTGCATCATAAAGCTCTCCACGTCGTTGAATGCCGGAAGCCCGCCGTCGGCCGCGCGTTCATTGAACTCGCTCTTACGTAGTCGCCCAAAGTAGGCATCACAAGCGGCCTTACCCTGCTCGTCGTTTCGGAAGAAGGTTAACTTGTAAGCGTTCTGCCACTCAGCCTCGGTAGCACTCTTTTGCAAAGCGATAAACCGCTCTAGGTTGGGATCCGTTCTAGGCCAGAAGTGCTTTCCAGGGATTGGCGCCGACGGATCGGCTCCGACCAAGACTAAGCGCCTGACCCGTGCTGGCTTCGCAAGGGTCGCCATTTGGCATGCCATGCTTCCAATCGAAAATCCCAGAAGGTCGATCAACTCTAGAGAGAGTGCGTCGAGAAACGCGTTTAGGTCATCCCCCATGACGTTAACTGCCACTCAGGGCGAAAATTCTTAGCATCCGTTTTGAACTGACGTTAAGAATGTCTGAGAACTTACTGTCGGTGGGCGTACGCTCAGTGCCACCGCTGCTTTGTCCTACCGCAGGAGGATCAAACATGATAATGGGACGCTTGGCCGCAATGGGTCGGATGAAGACTGGGTCCCAATAGCCCATAGAGGCTCGCACCTTCGCGTGGTGGATAATTCCTGTCAATGGTTTCACTGACTGCCGAGGGTCGAATATTGACTCACATGCATATGCAGAACAAGAGGAATGCCCTCAGATGGACCTAAACGCCGGTATGCGTAGATGATACCGTTTCGGGCTTCTACCTTCTGAACTGGGATGTAAGTCGAGAGCATGTTGATGGCCTATATCGATGGTGGGCTAAAGCGGATAAAAGAGGGGGTAGGTTGTTAATGTCGATGGCAATGACAGCTCTCAAAAGAAAATGCTGTTGACTTGAGACGTGCACTTCTAAAGAGGGGCTAACATATGTGTCGAGCGTGTCCCATCTTTGTCTGCATGCGTTTGACTTTCCAAACAACGAACTAAATGACAGCCAACCCATCCACACGTTCTCCTTGAACTAGGTGCCTCGAAGTCTTCAAAATTAAGTAGTCACAAACCCTAATATCATTATGGGATGATTATTGGAAGAGAAACATGGGTACTGGGCCTAAAAGATACATTTGGTAACCATAGAGTTAGACTACAGGTGATCAAACTTCAGCCTAACTCTATGACATTAGGGTAATCTACGGCCTCCAGGCTGTTGAAGCAGACAGGCCGCCCTTGTTGATACACAAACACCACGGACTACAGTATTCAGCCGCTTGTGCAGGAAGCCTAGGGCCCTTGAGCTGATTGAGTTCTTTGGCACTCTTACTACTAGTATGCATTACTTTATGCAAAAGGGTTCAGGCTTAGAGTTACTGAGCCGATTAGGGTTATGAGGACAGTTTATATTAGTTTGTGCTACTCTTTTTGCATCCCTTTGCGAACTTTTAGTTGATAGGACCAAAACCTCATTTTCAACATTTACCGTTTCTGAGGCGGCGGTGAAGCCAAACTGGTCCCATGGACGTGAGAACTTGCTGGGAAAACCATACAATCTCGACACAGCCCTATTGGCCGTAATGATAACTAGTAGACCTCAAACCTCCAATACACCATCAATCTCCAGTGCATCTTTAGCCAAAAACACCATCATTCTTCGGCATGAATTCCACATGTGGCATGCTCTTTACCTGCTGAGGTATGTTGTTTAACATACTGTCATCCATGCCTTCGAGCAAGGGAGCCGACATTCCCATCTGCGCATGAATCAACATGGGCCATCAGATGCCGTTACAGTTTGGGACTAGGATTGATACACTCACCGCGTAGTACTTAAACTTATTCGAGTGCAACATCGTGGCACCCTTGACCTGGATTTTCCATCGTAGCACTGCCCAGCCTAAGGGTGGGACGTCGTGTACCAGCTGTAGTGATGGTTTCTTGAGGTCGAGCTCCTCCATACCGGCCGCTATCGCATCTTGGACCGTGTCCCATTCCCACGATGCATTGGCCTTGGAACCGAGTAGGAACATGGGATCACCATGCTTGTACAGCGGCATTGTGTCATCGATCGAGTTATGAACGATCACGTCAACAGTCGTGCCCCAAGGAAGGTCCCCCACAATGGGAGGTTCAATGGCTGTCAGGTTGTTAAGGAATAGCAACGGACTCATCTGAGCGTGGAAGAGCTGATAGGGCTTCTGGTTCAGATAGTACTCAGTAACGTGCTCCTCATACCGCGAAGGCTGATGGCCGATGCGGAAATGCAACGTTTTGTTGGCAGGTGGGGGAGGCGATGGGGGGTGCGGTGCCAAAGTAGACGGCGCTGTTGTATTGCATGAGGCGTGAATGGAGCCATCGGGGTTCACACAAGGTGGCGAGCCACTTTGTGGATTCTGTATGGACATTGGAGCCCCATGTTGCGGATATCTCAGGGCCTGATAAAAGCTTAGTTCACGCCCGCGCGGGACTTGTGTGTGGGGAACGAGACTAAATGGAAACATACCGGATATCTCAAAATGGCATATCCGTGGAGGTTCTGATGAGTGCTTGTTGAAACAAGACGCATGGCGTAATCGGCCCCTTCGCGGTCAAGCTTGACTACAACAGTGTAACGGGCCCCATTCGTGAGGTAAAGCACATCCACTAGCTTTGGATCAACGAAGCCACCGTCATTCGCAACAATCCACATCTGATGGTCGTCAATGGCAAATTGAACAGCGTGTTCAAAGCCGATATTCAGAATGTTTAGCATTATCCAGGGTTTCCCGTGCGTCTCAATTATCTGTGTCGTAATTTAGCGGCGGGAAATGATAATGATGACAAACGGTTCATCTCATGACGTATCAAAAAGTCATACCTCGTAATCAGCCTCCGTGGGGCTGCACTGGACACCCTCATTCCCTGCCTCTATGGCACAGCCGGATTCATCTAGCCTCTTGCCACCAAGATGAGAGTATTCTAGGTGGCGGCAGTGGCGGCGGCCTTTGGAATTGACAAGGATGGAGTCATAGCAATTCAGATTGGTCCCCTCACTCCTCATTTCAAGAACTCGCCACCCGGCATCACGCCGGTAATAGTTCCATACTAGTAAGTGCTGAGCGTTCCGTTCCGCCTCTTGTATTAGTACCAGTTCGGTAGGAGACGTGGCGATTTGGCGGTACGGACGAGGTCGTGAAGGCGAGGGCGCGATGTAGGCAACACCATGAGCACCGTCCATGATACCCGTACCGGTATGATCGGCATACCAGTTCAATCCCCAGTGCCCCGTGGTGTCATATCGATGCGTGAAGTTTCCGCGTTGAAGGATGCCATACTGCCATCTTGTCAGCTAGGAGCTGCTAGAGTGGGAGATCGCAACGGCTGAAATGGCCTGTCATCGACATACTTGATTTAAACCACCGGTGCCATCGTTATAAAAGCCAAACCTGCCCGGCCGAAATGTCAGCTCATGATAATATGTATAATTGGCAGAAAATTCTTACCTTCGATGATTCATCCCGGACCAATGGATTGATACTTGGGCGAATAAATCGTTATGAACGTTGAGCTCCACGATATCGCCTTCTTCGGCGAACAAGGTCGGGCAGGGGCTCTCGCCGTTACACACGAATATACCTCTCCAGTATCCACCATCTGTAAACACTGGTTAAAGATTCTTTCCTCACTAGCCGATAGATTTCAAAGAGTATCCGAACCTAAGTTCATCCATCGAGCTCCTATAGTGAGGTTGTACCGCCGGACCACTTGGTCAGCTGTCTCTCGATCACACTTATTTCCTTTTCTGAGCAACGTTTTGACGGAATTGGTAATGGGCCAATGAAGCCACCAGCTCAGTACAAACATTATAAAGAAGACCCCTGGAATCGACCAGCGGGAGCGGCATGGCATCTGGCCCGTGAAGTTAATTAGGGCTTTGGCCCCGTGTAGTTGCTTTGCATCATCGGTATCGCGGCCGCCATCCATGAGTCGCGCTCTGGCCATTTTGTCGCCAGTCGAGGACCGCATGATTATTCTGTAATGACAAGATATGAGAAGGTTGTTGAGAATGACGAGAAGTAGTGAGGCCTCTGGGGGAATAAGCGGTATCCCTCTACGATTGGAACATGAAATCGTAGTGATTGATATGCACCAGTTTGGAGATAAACACCATCTATTGCCCAGGGTATTACGTTGTCGTTAGGTCTTGACAATATACACATGGGGTAATTGAGCACAGACATTCATAAGAAGTGTCAAACTTCCCAAACGGCAGAATCATCATCTTAATCCGTAATAGTCGCAAGTGTAACAACGATGAGATCTCCTAGACTACATACGTTGTCTTGAGACGGGAGAAGAGAGAGATTAATGAGAACTTTAATGACCCCGCCTACTGTTAAAGAGTTTATTTATATACATGTATATCTACGAATCCTGGCAGTTCTCACTTAGGGATATAAACTGTACCCTGTCTGTGTTGCCTAGGTTCAGGAAAACTACATAAAGGCTGTAAGAAAATTATGTCTAGTGTCTAGATTTGCCAGGTCCTTTGAGTGAATAAAGTACGTACTGGGGTGGTCCAGACTGCATAAAAGCCAAGAAATCCAATATTGACATGCCGAAGAAGGTGCATATCTTAGATGGATGTTTCAGTTACCTAGTTCCAGAAATACCTCATAAGTTTTATAAGATTTCCGTCACCCGAAGTCAAACGTCGGATCGTACTTTACCTTTTTGCGTTTTACCCCCGCATGAAGTGTAAGTAAAGTAAAATATAATGCCAACAACGGATACTGTGCGGGGCACTCTGTTGAAAATGGAAGTAAGCACCGAGTCAGGCTAATGGATATATTATGGGACTGAGACACTAATCTATTTCTATCCAGTATCTGGTGCAGGGCTTTTCAAGACAAACTCTATGTACAGTAGCTAGATGAGGGGTAGGTTTGAGTTGGCTGGTAACCCAATAGAATCATTTGAGAGAATACAGCGTGATGAAGCTCGGAGCATATCAAGAAATGAAATGGTAAGTTGAAGGCGTATTGTAGGCCATGGACGCAAGCCCGTTGGATTGAGCCTCCCAAACCCGAACTACATAGAAGATAAATCCGACCCACTTGTCATAATATCAAGCTAACACGCCACCTCTGGTGAACTCTGTACCAAATCTTACCCTCTTCTTGAGCTTGGTTCCAACAAACGGACAGTTTCGCCGCTAAAGCCAGGCTCCAGACAGCACAGGAAAAGCATCATGGCACCGACATACGTGGAATGGGACTCCGTAAGTTGATTTAATATCCAGACATATTCATCTGCTGAGGTACAAGTTACAGCCCGCCAGAGACAAGACCAAGTCTTGGATGCACAATGGAGACATTGTAGCAGACTCCAAGCCGAAACAGTATTTGACTGGAAATTTAATCTTGTCATCAGTGACAAAATGGCTGCCGTCTAGAGACGAGCACAGCGACTACTGGTGGAATATGGCCGGGCCTCACTTTTCAGCACTCCTCCAAAATGCCGGCTACAGCAGCCAAGCTCAGTATGAGACTCTCCTCTTTATCTATCACCAGATCACTCCGAGGCTGGGCCCTTCCCCCCTTCTCAGCAATGCAGATCGGCTAGATAGCGGACTCTCCCTTGACGGCACCAGGTTTGAGTATAGTTGGAGATGGAATCAATCCTACACGAAGCCTGAGGTACGCATGGTCGTAGAACCTTTCAGTCGGTTTGCCGGCACCTATATGGATCCTCTCAACATACGGCCGTCCATGGAAACTCTATATTCCATGAAATCACAGGTCCCATCTCTCGACATGACCTTATTCAATCACTTCATTGCGAAACTGTATGACTCTGAATGGCACAGATATCTGGACACCAACGAACGGCCGATTGTTACAAATGTGTGTCTTGGGTTCGAGTTCAAAGGCAGCGAAATTCTTCCTAAAGCTTATTTTTTCCCTCGAAAACTCGGTCAAAGCGGTCTCACCCCTATGCGAGTTTGGGAGGATGCAATCATCACTGCCATTCCCCAGAGTCCTACAGTAGCAACTGTTTTCTCCTTCGTTCAGAATGACGCTCCAAGGCTCGGCTTAACGCTGGCACCGCTGTGGCTCGGCATCGACGTGGTGAATCCAGTCGAAGCACGTCTCAAGTTCTACTGCGTCGAGTCGCGAACTTCCTTTGATAGTGTTAAGTCCATCATGACTATGGGTGGGATTATTGAGATTGCTTCAGACATGTTGGCGATGATTTGGGACCTCATGAAAGCTGTTTGCGACCTCCCAGACGACTTCCCCCAGGACAAAGACCTTCCTAGGGCGCCGCAGTATAACCCGTCAACCAACGGAATCGATGCAATTGGTCTCTGGGGAACGTTTGCATATTATTTCGATATTGGACTCGGTCGAGGGCTGCCCGACGTCAAGTTCTACATTCCCGTCTGTCACTACGGCACTAATGACCAGACTATCGCCTCAGCTACAGCCAACTGGATGAAGAAAAACAGTCGAGGCCAATATGTGGACGCTTTCTGGGACACGATGCACAAGATCATCTCGCACAGAAAGCTTGATGAATCCAGAGGCGCGCAAATGTGGCTCTCGATGATGGTGAAGCAAGGCGAGTTGCAGGTAACCACATATATTGCCCCAGAGGGCTTTCATCCCAAACGTGGGCAAGGGCACCAGTTATCCCACCGAGCTGTTGTGGAACGCGTTACAGGTAGCTGCTAGAAGGCCACGAGTTGCACTTGCCACGAGTTGCACTTGCCACGAGTTGCACTTGTCACAGGTTGCTGTATTGGATAGACGCGGGATTGCAATTTGGGAATTATACGGCAGACTTTTCACCCTATGTTTGCAATCAATTTGTACCTAGCTGCGATATCCCTAGGAATTAAAGTATATTGGCGGGGGACGGCTGAATATAGCTACCAGCTCGTGATAGGAATAAACTCGGCCCATTTAACTACTTCACGCCACCCGTAATAATAGAAGATCGAAGTTACCATGTCCATGCTGAAATCTGGAACGTTAGCTCAAGGTCTCCAACTAAAGATCAAGTCCAACGCTACTGACGAGAGAGAACAATACTATACACATATTGACTAGTAAGCAGCCATTCCTGATGGTTTAGTGTGCGATGGTAATTATCCAAACTATAGTGCCGAGGTTGAAGGAGACGAATAAGCTGCAGAGCAATGCATAAGAAAATGATTTACACTCCTCAATAATCACATGGATGAATTTGCCGCTTGTAATTTCTTTACACTAGACCAACCTAATTTACGCCATTTGGCCCCATCTCTATAAATTATTAGGGTTCAACCTAAAGCAGTTATCAATTTATGTGTACTCCTACGACATCCCTTCTCTCTTTCTGGCGTGTATGTGTATTTCACTGTAACTCTATTGGAGGAAAATGCAGGTGTTATTAGATTTCCCCTCTTTGGGCGGAAACCCGTCCTGGTGGTAATACTTTGCTCGTTTGGGCCGCGGGAACCAAAAAGTTTATCCGGCTGCCACGGTGCCCATACTTAAGTACTACTAAGTACGTAGTATTATAGATTAACGCATCTCAGATCTAGCCTAATTAGGTAGCCTCATACCAGGATCCACACAAGCGGCAGTGAAGTTTGTCCAAGAACTCTAATCTTTCTCCTCACAGTTAAATTTTATACTAGTACCCCACGTATATCTCCATATCCAATTACACTGTATCGTACCAGCAATTGGATCAAGAACTTTCTCGGTTCAACATGACTCGTGATGTAAGTCTGTTGGCACAGTGTCGAAGGGTAGGTTTCAGATCATGCTCCTGTTGCATCCGAGAAGAACATGAATTTACCATGCATGCTCCCATAGCAAGTATCTACTACACAAGGCAGGTAACAATACTTTGATTGAAGCGGGTACCGAACTGGCTTGACACCACGTTTTGTGTGCTAATCTATGAGACTCCTGAGTCCGTTGAGGCCTGTGAGCGGAAATATACAACCCTCAAAGCGTAATGGGATTACTGGCTTATATATCGGCTAACACATATGCTCCAAGTGGAGTTTAGAGGACTTTTTCTTATTCGTGATCACTAGCTAAGGCTCCAATGACTATTACTTCTATTTTATATTGAACTCCTTGTTACCATCTCAGTCTCTTTATCAAAGAAAAACAAAGGAAAACAAAATGGCCACACCAATACGACAGTGTTCAAAACGCTTCCCATCCTTGCTCTTATTCGGGCCACAGGGGCGTCTGTGTCCTGAGAAGCTCAGCGAGTTGCGCACCCACCTGACTTCCGACGTGCGGTTGTCCGAACTGCTCCACGCCGCACAGGATCTACACAAATTCTGGTCCAGGGCGGTACATCTCGACCCGGAGCTGACACGGGTTCCCGCAGAGTCATACCTACATGGTCTTTCCGAGTGGCTTGTGCATGCGACTTCTTTCCCATGCTCATCTCCAATTTTGCCTGCTGTCCTCGCCCTACCACTAAACCTCCTGTTCCAACTGACTCAGTATCTTTCTTTTCTACAATCCGTAGATGAACATGGAGAAAATTCACAACGTCTGTTGCTTGAGGGATTGGAAAACGGCGGGGTGCAGGGGTTTTGCGTCGGATTTCTCAGCGCCATAACCGTTGCGTCTTCGAACAACGTGCAAGAGATTTTTGAGACGGCCAAACACGCCCTTCAACTTGCAGTAATTATTGGTGCTTATGTCGATAAAGATGCGATGCAGGTCCAAACAAAATGTATCTCTGTGCGGGGGAGACAGCAGGATGTCAAAAGCTGGAAAAATGCAAACAGCATCCTTCAAGCTTTTCCCGAGGTAATAAATCCCTTCCACGAATCCATCATTCTAATATTAAACTCAAGGGATTATGGTTGACATAACAATTGGATCAACTTTAGGCATACGTCTCAGCTATCACAGGAAAAACCTCGATCACAGTCACCTGTCTGAGCAGCCAGCTCGATATACTGAGAGACATCCTGATCGGTGCCGGTTATACTATCCAGGACGTTCCAGTTTACGGTCGACTACATTGCGCTGTGTACAACTCTGAAGTAAAGAAGATTATGGGGCTTTTTAACAAGATCCCTGACCTACGGTTCCCGACTGTTGCAGACCTGCGCGTCCCTGTAAGGTCTGCTACGAATGGATCAGTCATCACTCAAGGTGATCTCGTCCAGCACGTCTTAAACAACACATTGCTAATGCCCGTTGAATGGTACGCCACAACTAAACTTGCTGTGGCCTCTCTACCCCCCAGGCACGAGTTCATCGCCCTAGCCGGTGCCTCAGACCCACTACCACTGTCTTTAGCAGGCAACATGGATGTCCGACATATCACGATTCATGGCTTAACAAAACAATCAATGTCCCGAGTCAACTCTCATGGACTGCACTCCAACGACTTTGTGATTCAACGCACATGTCCTGATAAATCGCCGGTAACCAGCGAAGATGGTGGGATTCCAACTCCAACATCCACTCATACTTGCAACAACGATACAGACTCGTCCAGAAGACTAAGAGGGTGTCCCTCGTCCGACTTCCCATCTCATTCAGTTGCTATTGTCGGTATTGCAGGGCGCTTCCCGGGTGCAAACTCCGTGGATGAGCTTTGGGAGCTGCTTTTGAATGCAAAATCGATGGTGGACAAAGCGCCTACTAGAGTCGGGTTAGACCAACTTGACGAGGATGTCTCTCAAGTGAAGTGGTGGGGCAATTTCCTTGACGACTACGACTCTTTCGATCACAAGTTCTTCAACAAGTCAAGCCGTGAAGCGATGGCTTGCGATCCCCAGCAAAGAAAACTATTCGAGGTCGTCTACGAAGCCCTCGAATCCTCTGGTCAACTCGGCGCAGATGCCCTCTCGGACTGCTCAGACTACGGCTGCTATATTGGCGCCGTTATGAATAACTACGTTACCAATGTTAGCTGTCACCCGCCAACGGCTTATGCTACGACAGGGACTGGCCGATCGTTTCTTAGCGGAGCCGTCAGCCACCACTTTGGGTGGACCGGGCCGGCCTTGACCGTTGACACAGCATGCTCCTCGTCATTAGTAGCTATCCACATGGCATGCCGTGCCATCGCGACAGGCGAGTGCAGTCGCGCCGTCGCTGGAGGTACAAATATCATCACCAGCCCTCACGACTACCGAGACCTGAAAGCGGCCGGGTTCTTGAGTCCTACGGGTCAGTGTAAACCGTTCGACGCAGGTGCCGACGGCTACTGCCGCGGCGAAGCCGTCTGTGTGGTGGTTCTCAAATCACTAGCCTCCGCCATAGCGGAGGGCGACGAGATTATCGGGGTCGTCGTCGGGTCGGCAACCAGCCAGAATGACAATGAAGGCCCCATCGTTGTGCCCAACGCCAAGTCTCAGGCTAGTCTCTTGACGAAGGTTATGAACATGTCGAATGTCGTTCCTGAGGACATCACGTATGTCGAGGCTCATGGAACCGGAACTGAAGTGGGTGACCCCATCGAGGTTTCCAGTATCCGAGAAGCCTTTAGTGGGCCATCGAGGAAGTCTAAGCTTCGCTTCGCTTCAATCAAGGGAAACATTGGCCATGTCGAAGCTGCGTCAGGCGCTGCCGGCTTGATCAAGGCTATTCTTATGATGAGGCATGGAAAGATCCCCCCGCAGGCGAGCTACAGGTCGTTGAACCCGCGGATTCCCGCTCTAGAGCCCGATGGCATGGAAATCCCACAGGTCCTAACCGACTGGGGTCCAGCAGAGCGCATCGCTTGTATCAACAATTATGGCGCCGCCGGAAGCAACGCGGCAATTATGATTCGACAAGCGCCAGTCATTCCAGAAACCACCGATAAGATTGTTTTTACAGAAGACAGCTCTGCTCCTTCCAGCTGGCCTTTAGTCATATCTGCATCTACCAGGGTTTCTTTATCTTTTTATTGTCAAAAGCTGCTCGACTGGTTGCGACGAGGAAGGTCCAATACGACGTCCGATTTTAGCATTGCCGATATCGTTTTCAATCTTTCTCGTCGGACCAACCATGCACTGAGAAATATTGTGTCGACTCCCGTTCCTGACTTATCCGCCCTCGAGTCGGTGTTATGTGCTGTCATCTCAGAGAATGGACCAGTGTCTGTAACACCGTCTTCTCCGCCGCCTGTGATTCTTCTATTTGGTGGTCAGGAGAGCCGGTGTGTTGGGCTATCAAGGGACATTTGGAGATCCTCACACATCCTTCGCTATCATCTTGACCACTGTCAGGACCTTTTGCTAAGTCTGGGTCTTGGCGGGATTTATCCCGATATCTTTCAACAAACACCACTCACCTACTGTGTCACGCTGCATCTTGCGTTATTTTCCCTTCAGTATTCATGTGCCAAAGCTTGGATGGACTGTGGGCTGCAGGTGGCGGCAGTAATAGGACACAGCTTTGGGCAACTGACAGCCCTTTGCATCTCGGGAGTGCTGTCTCTGTCTGACGCTCTCACACTCGTAGCAGGCAGGGCGTCACTTATTGAAAAGCATTGGGGCTCAGAGGCCGGCGCGATGATTTCTCTGCAAGCCGATGAGCAGCGGGTTGCCGACATACTCAAGCAAGTAAACGCCCAAATCGGTTACGCCGAGGTCGCATGCTATAATGGCCCCCAAAGCCATGTTATTGTAGGCTCTTTGGATGCTATTCGTGGTGTGGAAGCCTTGATCTCTAGCAGCGACCAGTTTGGAGGTTCCATTCGCAGCCAGAGGCTTAACAACACGCATGGCTTCCACTCAAAATTCACAGAGCCACTGCTTCCATATCTGGCCGATTTGGGAGATAAACTCGACTGGGGGAAGCCTCTCATTCATATCGAAGTCTGTAGTGAGACACAGAACAACCGAAACCTGGGTACAAGCCTTGTTGTTGAGCATTCAAGGCGTCCCGTATATTTCAAACAAGCAGTGCAGAGGCTCATGAAGAAATACCCACAAGCTACCTGGCTTGAGGCGGGTCGAGGGTCTTCATACACGCAACTCGTTCAAGCATGCGCTCAACACCCCAACAGCTACTCATTCGTTTCTACGCAGTTAACAACGTCAAACGCGCAAAACTCTCTTGTCAATGCTACAGTCAAAATGTGGAAGGAAGGCCACTGCGTACAGTTCTGGCCGTTCCACCGGACCCAACGAAGACAGTATCGTCACTTAAGTCTACCAATCTACCAGTTTCAAAAGACTCGACACTGGCTATCTTACACAAGAGCAACAACTGCCAAAAAGGAATCTAGCACCGTGCAACATGGGGAACCAAAGGATCCCGAAATGTTGTCATTTGTCACAGGTGACAAGTCAACAGAAGCAGTCTTTTGCATCTCGACAAGCAGCAAACGCTTCCAATCTCTCGTCATGGGTCACTTCATGTGCCGCTACGGCGTTATGCCTGCTTCAGCATACATAGAGGTGGCGTCAAGAGCTGCCCTCATGCTTCAGGGGGACTCGCAAGCCACGAACTGGACCCCCACAGTTGAGGACCTAGCCATGCGGGCTCCTGTGGTATTCGATCTCGAGCATACCTCTCCCGATATCAAAATGATCTTGAAACGCCTCGATAAGCCGACACATCCATCATGGTCATTTTCCATTTTTGTCACTGCGAAAGACGGTGCGGCTTCTGTTGAGACTCAAGAAACAACAGTTGGTTTCGTGCACCTGCGACAACGCTCCGACTCCCAAGCAATCCAGGAATTCAGGCGTCTCGACGATTTAATAGGACAAAGGCGCTGGGAACAAGTCATAAACCATCCGGACGCCGAGGGCATGCGCGGAAACCATATCTACCGGGCCTTCAGCCAGATCGTCAAATACTCCGAAGCCTTCCAGGGAATCAAGACCATAGCGTCCATGGGAAACGAAGCTGCAGGTATTGTCAAAACAAGACCGGATACCAACGACCCGCCTGACCAACGCCTGGTTGACACTCCCATGATTGACAGCTTCATGCAGTTCGGCGGGTTTCTCGTCAATTACTTCAACCAACAATTATCTGCGGAGGAACTATTCGTCTGCCACTTCATTCAGCGTTTACAGATTGGACCTGGCTTCTCTCCAGACGCCGGGGACTGGATCATCCTAGCAAACACAACCCTCATTGACAAGGACAACATATCGGTTGACGTCTATGTATCTGAGAAGCAAAGCGGGAAGACTATCCTCACCTCACTTGGTATGGACTTCAAAAGGATCTCGCGTGCGTCTCTTGCGCAGATCCTGGGCGGGTCTGTCAATGAGTCCGACCTTTCCAGACGCGGGTCAGTAAAATGCATCGAGCAGACAACGCCGATATGCAAACCAACGACGCAGCCGGACAACAAACCCAAAAGCAAGAGCAGACGCGTGGATGTGATCCAAATTATCGCGGACGTTGCCGATGTGCCCGAAGAAGAATTAGATATTGACACACGACTCGCCGATATCGCAATCGACTCTCTTGGTGCAACCGAAATAGTTGGCGACATTGCCACGAAGCTGGGTGTGATAGTCGACCTCACCACATTCTCAAACTTTGAAGATATCAGTGCCATAGTTGCCCATGTTGACAGTCACCTTGGGCTACAATGCAGGACCGAGAACGATGATGAGGACGTTGGGATTGGAAACCCATCCCCATTAGAACCGCAACGCTTGATGGCAAACGGGTTGGTCTCCAACCAGTCCTGCGAAGAAACAGAGAACAGTCCAAGCGACGCCATTCTCAGTCAAAATCCTGCAGTGATGCCAGCTATTACCTCAATTGACAAACTATTTGACGATGTTCGTCTCAGCTTCGACGAACTTGGCGCAGCAAGGCATGCGCTCGAATATTGGTCCGACATATACCCAGACGATAAACGTTTGATTTTAGCGTATACCGTAGAGGCTTTCAAAAACCTTGGCTGCGATCTGAAAAGACTGAGACCCGGACAGCCGGTACCTGAAATCGTGGGATTTCTGCCTCGACACCAACAGCTGGTAAATCTACTCCACCAGTTTTTGAAAGAAGAGAACATCATCATTTTGACGGGCGATGGTGTCTTTTCCCGGACCAGTGAAAGAATAGAAACTGCGACCGGTGAAACGATATTCAACGAGATTCTGGGCAAGCATCCTCACAACGCCGCCATCCGTCAACTTCTGCATGCCGTCGGGCCGCACCTAGAAGCCTGTCTTATAGGAACGATGGATGCGCTTCAGATCCTGTTCGGAAACCGGGCAAACAAAAAGTGGCTAGACGAGGTGTACAGAGACTGGCCCATGCTAGTGACTGCCACGCAGCTTCTTGGTGATTTTCTCTGCCGGGCTTTCACTCAAGCAGAACCAAACACAGACACAAAGGTCCCCAGAAAAAGCTGCTTCCGTGTCCTTGAGGTTGGGGCGGGAACAGGAGGAACAACGAGCCACATTGTGAGCCTCTTGAAAGACCGCGGTATTCCCTTTGAATATCATTTTACCGACATATCACCAACGCTTGTGCAAAAGGCCAAGTCTTCTTTCAAAGGCATCAGTGGTATGAGTTTTGGCGTCATGGACATTGAGAAAGAGCCCGAAGTCGAGTTCATCGAGGCGTTCCATGTCATTATATCGACCAACTGTATCCATGCGACCAGGAATATCTCGTTGAGTCTGGCCAATCTCCGCAAAATGCTTCGTCAAGATGGCGCTCTTGCACTGATTGAGATGACCCCAACACGCCCGCTTTACGTGTTTGATGTCATAGTTGGTCTCCTCGAGGGCTGGTGGCTTTTCGAAGACGGTCGTAAGCACGCGCTGGCAAGCATCGAGCGCTGGGAGCAGGCTTTCATGGAGGCTGGCTTTCGTCATGTGCTCTGGTCCGACGGACCGAGTCTAGAGGCCAGGACAGTTCGGGTTGTCTGTGGGTTCCAATCCCAGAAAACCGCGGCTACACGAGACCACTCGGAGATAATGGCCACCGCTAACAGAAAAAATACGACAAAAGATCCCCAGACAGGCGTTCACATACAAGAGGTGGTTTACAAGAAAGTGGGGTCTCAAAATATCCATGCAGACATTTACTGTCCACATCAAGCGGACCCGACCCGGAAGATGCCAATTGGTACGTTTTAAGCAGCTAACTGAAAATTGAGATTCGTACTGTTATAAAAAATCAAATACCTGCGCACTCACTTATGCATATGCTCAGCCCTAATGATACACGGCGGTAGCCATGTTCTCTTTTCCCGAAAAGATGTCCGAGATCCACAAACGCGCATCATGCTGGATATGGGACTTCTCCCCGTCAGTCTCGACCACCGTCTCTGCCCGGAAACTCGGCTAGCACAGGGGCCGATGGTAGATGTCTGTGATGCGGTTGAGTGGGCGAGGGTGAAGCTACCACACATCAAGCTAGCGAATGCAGATGTCAAGCCTGATCCTGATAATCTCGTGGTCATAGGCTGGTCCTCGGGAGGTCAACTAGCATTGTCAACAGGCTGGACGACTCTTGGGAAAGGTATTCGACCTCCTAATGCCATTCTAGCCTTCTACTGCCCTACTGATTATGAAGATGACTGTAAGTCGGCCTCACGTTCGGTATAATTTTATTCATCAACCTATGTATCAACATGCTGACACCGAGGAACCGCCAGGGTGGAGGAATCCGATCCAGCCCATTGGAGCAGCGGATCAGGGACAAGAGTACGATGTGCTAGAAGCAGTGCAAGAGGAACCCGTAAGTCTCTTAATACTTCTCAAGTAACGCCTAAATCAATGGTGGAAAGGGCAAAGAACTCCGATACTGAAAATGGAAAATACAGATTACAAATTACGGTGTAATTGGCGCTTGGAAGCCACTATCTGACCAACGTATACATAATGATCCTCGCGCCCGCATCGTTTTACACATGAACTGGAAGGCACAGACACTACCGGTCGTCATCAGCGGCTTACCTAGCAAGAGCTCTGTGGCATCTGAAAGCCCTGGTGTCAACTGGAACGCATTGCCACAGCCCCCAGTGGATGAAATTCAACGTTGCAGCCCGTTGGCCCAAGTTCGAAAGGGAAACTATGTAACGCCGACATTCATAGTCCATGGTGAGGCGGATGATCTGATTCCGTGGCAACAGTCACTCCGTACAATTGAGGAGATAAAGCAACGCGGCATAGATGGTCAGCTGGTCTTGGTACCAGGGGCGCCTCATATTTGTGACACGAGCCGAGACTCCGCAGCGCCAGGGTGGCAAGCTGTATTAGATGCTTACCAATGGTTAATGGGCTACGCTTTCTCCAACAAGTAGATTGAGACTGGCAGACCTTATGATGTAGTGTACATAGAAGATGAATGGAGAGGATACAAGATGATTGGAAAACATTACCGATTAAACGTTGTATGATACTACAGCTCTCCCCTTTGGCCAGATGAAGAGGTTTAAAATATTAGCTTCATATCACACGAGTTGACCAAAGAATATGAGGTTTTTTCGTCATTAAGTTTCAGCTTGAATTAGAAGAACAAATATATCCCGGTCTCTACATGGTCGTCACTTCCCTTCTAAGATGTCTAAACTTTTGTGGCTGGCTGCCGTACGCCACATGTCATTAGTCGCGGCTTGAACCTACCCGATCGCGTTACTTCTGCCTCCCTCTGATGTTCAGTGGCTAGATTTTGGAAACGCCACATTTCTTTTCAATACACTTAGTTAGTGGCTAGCTGAGTTAAACCGATGGGTATGTAAGTGGCGGCCGGCTGAGTGGGCTGAGCTTCTAATTAATGGGTCCACACTTAACCACCAGTCGACATAGAGTTGATCTATCACATTTACAGACCTCCCAATAAGCAAATAACAAAGTTCCATAGGTTCTCTTGTGCATCCACTTTAACTATTTATATAGAGCTTTTGCAGGTTCAGCTCATAGAATTGGCACGAAATTGTGACTAAAAAACAAGTTTTACATGCCGTGTGAAAACACAAGAAACGTTTACTAAACAAATGCTTTCTTAAGTGTCCATCATGTCCAGACATGATATAATAGTGTTGAGAAATGTTTGGGATGTCCCTGAGACCCGTTTTCTGACAACAGTATCTAGTAAACCCTTGGCAGCGTCTCAGAAAAGCGTGGTTCAATCCAGTCACAAATGCTTTTCTAGGACCAAAAGTCGGAAAATAACTTTGGTATCAGCGATCCTTCATTAAATACATCGCGAGTATGCACATGGTGACTATCACTATTAAGTCTGCGTTGCTCTTGGACATGTAATGTGATATCCCAGCCCCTGCCTGGCATTTCGTCCAAGAACTAGAAAGACTCTCCAGTGGACTCCTAGGGATACTTCTCACAGGGGATCTTTCGGCTCTCTTCTCAATAATCAAGTGATCTTGTACACTTGAGCGTGGTAGAGTGCTTCGCTTGTAACGATGGCTCATACCAATATGATGCCACTCTGCGCCGCACAAATCCCCATTGTTACCCGACGGGTTGAAAGTAATATTCTTTAACAACAGTTACATTTTCTACATTAAAAAAGTATATAAAAGCTATTTAATTCCAGAGAAAGCTTGTCTAGTAACAAGAATGCAAAACACTCTATTGCATATTTCGAAGCCATATTTTTGAACTCAGCTGCGGCTGAGATAGACAGAAGAAATGATCTTCCCGAGAGAAAGAAAGGCTGATAAGTACTTGTACTTGGTCACGAATATTATACGACTTGTTTTGGTTTAGTGTCTAATACAGGTCGTAAAATAATTTAGGAGGATCGAATATTAGCAGACGACGGAACATTAGTCCAATCTCCAATACTGAACAAGCCTGCAATGGACAAACATATAAAGACGCCCTTAATCCTCGACATTATCTTTCTCTTCCACTCCCCTCTGTCCACAATCAGTTCACACTCTTAGTTAACAATCTCACCTCAACTTTGATCTCAACCATTCGGTTTTTCGGGATTACTTTCGCTTTTGTCACCTTTTCCTAGCAGCCCTTATAAAATAACAGTCATCCGTCCAGACGAAATGTCTTACATCGCCCCTGCTACTATTCGCGCCGCAGTGTGGAGCCTGAAGTCCTCCAACCCTGATCTCCCCGCGGAGTCGGCCATCTTGCCTGATGATGGAAGTAATGGGACCGAGTCTGTCTTTGAGAATGACAATCGCCGTCTCGTTGACATCAAGGACCTTGCTGATGGCGGCAAATTCCGATGTAAGCTTGCCCAAATTCTGAGATCGGAGCCAAGAAAGTACCACGCCACTGCATATGTAGGTACGCTGACATTCTGTCTAGCTATCGTCAAGATCCAAGCTTGCTTCAACAAGCGGCCAGGCGAAAGTGTTTGGATGATGGGCTCCGGCTGGCTAATTAGCCCGGATACCATCGTCACAGCCGGACATGTGGTCTACGATTGGGGTCACCGCCTTCAAAGTGCTACCGAGATCAAGTGCTACATTGGATACTCCGGTCGTGCTTCCGTCAGCACTCCCACTGTTCAGGCTCGCTTTGGAGAGCGAATAATCACCACGGCTAAGTGGGTTGAGGCTCCTGGAAACAGAGCCCACGATGTCGCTTTCATCAAGGTCAATCGCCCTTTCACGGGCAACCTCAGGAACATCCCTTTCAAGGACACTCCTCTTTCTTCAACTGGGGTCACCTTGGGTGTTGTTGGGTATCCTGGAGACAAGTACCTTGAGGGCCAGAACGGACAGAGTGTAGAAAAGGGCGCCCAGATGTACGAGGAGTTCGCCCCCACTAGCTATGATATTGGGAAGAGCGAGCGTCACATGGTTGAGTACGGAGTTTCAACCTTTGCAGGTACGTGAGGGGTATCCAATTAGTTCCTGGAAGGCGTTTGACTGATGGTCATTCAATAACAGGTCAATCCGGCGCTCCAATCCTCCAGGCCACCAACAACAGTTTGGTGGCCATTGGTACCCACTGCTATGGTGGCGGCGGCGACGAAAGCAATTCTGGCAACTCTATTGGCGGCATTTATGGAAACAACTACCACGCTTTCCTCGCGCTTTTCGATAGCAGCCAGTTCCCCGACTCTCATCGATCTGGCATCAAGGTGATCGATTCCGATGCCAAGTCTCGTGGTGAGATCCGGAACATCAATGATAATATCTACAACGGTCACAACGGTTACAGCGGCGCGAACGGCTACAACAGCAACAACGGCTACAACGGCGTTCGCGTAGATGCCGATGTCTCGCCCTTGGGGCAGATCAAGTACAGCTCGCGCACAAGTCTTCAAGAAAGCGCGGATGAGGAAGGCTTCTTCGATATTATCAAGTCAATTGCAAAGGTCGCGGGGCCTGTCGTATCAGGCGTCACTCCCTTCCTTGGGCCGATTGGCGGCTCCATCGGTGCGATAGCCGGTGGCATCCTCTCAACTGTTGGAGGAGCTGAAAGTGCCCTTGTTGATGGGAACACATCAAATGCAGTCGAGAATTCCATCAACTCAGGGGCTACTGAGAGAGCAGTACTTGCCGAGGCTTCTCTCCAAGCGCTCTTGGAGCTAGAAGACTCCCAAGAGACTGCCGAGGTACTTCGTACAATCAGTTCCAAGTATAACGCATTTAGACCCAAGCTGGATGCAATTGCGAAAATTTCCCAGCCCCAGCTCACTGAGGCTGGACTTTATTTGGCTCATCGCCAGATCGCACAGTTACAGGAGAAGGGTGTGTTCGGAACACAGGAGTCCGAAATTGAGCTTCCTCGCGTTCCTTTGCAGGGTATCAACCAATCGACTTTGTCTCGATACGAGGGTCAACAAGAAGCTTTTGCCCAGGGCCTCATGGCGCCCACGCGGCCGGTTTCGGACGAAGAAGGGTTTTTGGACTTCCTTGGACCCGTGCTCTCCAAGGGAATCAGCTTCGCCAAGCCATTCATTGCAAGTGCAGCACAGGGAGCACTTGGGGGCATTCTCAATCATCTCGGTGGTGGCGCTGAGTCTTCTTTCGACGCACCCCCAGGTACTCATGAGCATGCCACCCTTCTCGCTTTCAAGCGCGCCGCCGCAGCGGAGGCTGCTTTGCAGACTCTCATGGAGCTCCCTAAGCACAAGCTTGACCGTCTCTACATCAGCAGTCCCCGAGCTGGCGAGGAAAGCATCTTTGACGTCATCAAGGCTGGAGTACAGAAGATTGCTCCAGCTGTCATTGACATCGCCAAAACGGCTGTGCGTAAGGTCGTGCCTGTCATTGTTGACGCTGCATCGCAGAAGATCAAAGACGCCGTGGATCCAGAGAGAAGGTCGGCTACCCAGAACAACTCAGACTCATACAGCCGCAATTCAGCGTCTCAAACGAATGTCATTCGACCCAAGCCGTCCGTTAGGGACATGTTTGTGCAGGCCTCCAAGGGCACGAAGGTGAGCGAGAACCCAGATGACATGGAGCCTACAGAGGAGTACATCCTGAACACTATCCTCGAGGACATACTGAAGTCGCGTGAGACCACTTGGGTGCCCTCGCTTCACAAGCGAAAGTCCTGGGACTCAAACGATGACGGTTTATGCATGATGGATGAGGAGCCACTCTAACGATGATAATCTGAATAAACTTACTAATTTCTTTTGGAACCATGGCAGGCTATTCTTACGTACTAGTGGGACTAAAGGCTGTTCGTTGCTCGCAGCTCTTTTGGAACGATGATCGGGCCAACTGAGGGTCAAGCAGCCATATAAACCAATACGTCATCGACCTCTGTCAACTTGACCTATACTAGACAATTCTCCCTTCATGTTGCTTGAGGTTATATTTTCTTTTCATCAGTTTACTTAGCTGTATTTCTCTTTCCCCTACGTATTGCTTCAGTTGTTCCTTAGATTCATTATAGAGTACGCTACAAAAAGAATTTTAGTTAAGCCTACAAGCAACAACCCCTGCGACGTGATGAACTATAAGCAAATGTTACACGCAGCTATTGTGTGATTACACTCTAGGCAAGTTGACATTTGCAAACGCGTAGACAAACACTCAATAGAAGACAGCAACAATAGCAGTAAAAGCAGGAGGACTAATCAAAACAGAAGAAGCAGCCAGGAATTAAGCAAGGTATAAATGTATCAGGCGGCCTACGTAGTTCTTCTGTTATTCGTTGTTCTTTAAGGCTGCTTGCAGATCTTACAAAAAGATCAAAAACAACATGACATACAACACCAGGTATTCGCTGGTCGTCACCGACCCAACTACTAATCCGGCCCTCACACTTTTTCTTTTTAGGTTAGGAACGACCACTGAGTGCTGTTTTTGGTAACTAAAAACGGTAAGCCTCTAAACGGTCTCTATTTTAGAAGGAAAAACATAATACTAAATGTCTCCGTTTAGGATAGATAAGGCACCGTTTTCTTATTTATAAAGGCTCTATTAGACTTAACCTTTTACTTATATAAAACTACTTAGCGTTATAGGAAGTAAGTGTAGTACTAGCCTATACTTTACCTTAATAATAAAGACCTATCCTTATATAATATAGCTATTTAATTTATTACTTTCTTTATTTAGCTTATAACTATTATTTTATTACCTTATTACTATTATTATATAATAGGTTTAGCCTTTATTTATCTAAGGGTATAATTTTTTATAAAGTATAGCTAAGGTTAGTCTAAAGCGCTATATATATCTTAATAGTAATAGCTAGTATAGACTAGTAAACTAATTATTAAGATAAAAGGTAACTATACTAAATAGCTCTATAAAGATAAGGCCTCTAGGGCAGTAAGCATACTATAACATAGGGTATAATAAGGTATTAGGTACACTTTAGTAACAGCTAGTTATAAAGTATTAGTATACTATAGCTATAAAAGTAATTAAGTACTCTAACGCTATAATAATAAGGAAGATAAGGCACTAGCACGCTATATTTATAGGCGCTATAGCGCTATAGATAATAGGTAGTCTTATAAATTATAGCTGTCTAAGTTTTACTAAGTTTAATGTATTTTTAGGCTATAAGTAGTAAGAATTATAGCTACTAAATAAGCTTAGTAGATCTAGTAATAGCTAGTAAAGCTAAATTAGGGTAGGTAGGCCTAAGCTAGCAGTAAGCTAAGCTAAGTAATTAGTAAGCGGTCCTAAGCATGCCTAAGTAAGCCTAAGCTAACAGTAAGCCGTTAGTAAGCACGTAAAACCAGGCCTAAGTATAGGTAAGCTCTAGTGGGGTGTAAAGAAGAATCTACTAAGATACTATAGGGCTAACTAAGAAGTTAGCTAACGTATTAGCTAAACCTGCCTAAGGATTAAAAGGGGCTAAGATAGCTAAAGGCTTTATACACTTTACTAACGTTATAGCTATCTATATACTATAGTAGTAACCTTAATATATATCTTACTAAACTATAATTAAGTAGATAAGCTCCCTAAGGCCTTAGGAATTTAACCTTTATAGGTTTATAAGTCTAATGTTATAGCTAGTTTCTAGACAGTAGGGTTTCTACTAATAGTAAGCAGAGGTTAGCACCTAGTTAATAGTATTCCTCTTCTTTATTATCTTTATTAATTACCTAGTAATTAGTTAAGGCTTAGGGTTATAAGGCAGCTTATATAGCTTCTTATTAATTAAATTACTAAGGTCAGATACTAAAAGGTATTTAGAGAATATATTATAAGTTAATTACTAAAGAGCTATAGGAGTCTGTCCTTAAGTGCGTCTAAGTCTATCCTATATATAAGTCCTAACTGTTCCCTAAATAGTTCCTTTAACTAATAGTTATAAGTAATTACTATCTTTATATAAGGTAAGCGCTTAGTAAATACTAATAAGCACTTACTTTTATAATTACTAGTAATTACCTTATCTTATAATTACTTTCTTATTTTTATATAACTTATGCTATAGTTCTTTTATTTTAAGGAGTTATTTATCTATTTTTTATTTCTTATTTATATAAATACTACTACTACCTTTTATCTGTCTATTAGGTAGAGTAATATAGCCTATAACTTATTAGGTTATAATATTAGGTCTTTTCTCTAAAAGGTCTTACCCTTAAGACCTATATAAGTAAGTTATATCTCTTAGGTTAGGGAGTTATTAATTATACTTCTTTTATTTTTATTTCTTTTTATAATACTAACGTAATATCTAGTAAAAAGAATTATTAAAAAGCTTTTTTTATATAACGTTACTTAAAACTTACTTTAGTAATAAAGAAGTTTAGTTTTAACGTTATACCTTATTCTTTTTACTAGTTAGTAGGTTATTACTATAAGATACTTATAAGAAAGTTAAAGTATTATAAGTATACTTATTATAGTTATTTATATAATATAACTATAAATACTATTTATAAGTATAAGGCTTTTTTTTATTAACTTTCTTATTCTAATAAGTACACTTAGATATAAAAGCTTATATAATTATAACCTTAAATTTAACCTTAAATTTAACCTTATTTATAACCTTAAAGTAATACTACTATATATATATATATATATATAAGATATCTAATATAACCTTTACTTCTAAATATAGACCTATAGAGATTTACTCTTTAGTACTTTATTATTACAGCTAGTTTCTAAGCAGTAGGGTTTCTACTAATAGTAAGCAGAGGGAGATACTTAGTAACAGTAATTGTTGTCTTGCTAGTCTGTTAATTACCTAGTAATTAGTTATATAGTTAATAGGTATAAAGGTAGCTTATATAGCTCTTGTTAATTAAATTACTAAGGTTAGATACTAAAAGGTATTTAAAGAATATATTATAAGTTAATTACTAAAGAGCTATAGAAGTTTATCCTTAAGTGTATTTAAGTCTATCCTATATATAAGTCTTAGCTATTCCCTAAATAGTCCTATTAACTAATAGTTATAAGTAATTACTATTTTTATATAAGGTAAGCGCTTAGTAAATACTAGTAAGCGCTTACTTTTATAATTACTAGTAATTACCTTATTACATAATTACTTTTTTATTTTTATATAACTTATACTATAGTTCTTTTATTCTTAAGGAGTTATCTATTTATTTTTTATTTTTTATTTATATAAATACTACTACTACTTATTATTTACTTATTAGGTAAGGTAATATAGCCTATAACTTATTAGGTTATAATATTAGGTCTCCTTTCTAAAGGTCTTACCCTTAAGACCTATATAAGTAGGTTATATCTCTTAGATTAGGGAGTTATTAATCTTAATCTTTAATCTTTTATACTAATACTATATTTAGTAAAAAGGATTATTAAAAAGCTTTTTTTATATAGCGTTATCTAAAGCTTATATTAGAAATTAAAGAATTTAGTTTTAACGTTATACCTTATTTATTTTATTAGTTAGTAGGTTATTATTATAAGATACTTATAAAGAAGTTAAAGTGTTATAAGTATACTTATTATACTTATTTATATAATATAACTATAAGTGCTATTTATAAGTATAAGGCTTTTTTTATTATTAGTTTTCTTTATTTTTAATAAGTAATAGTAGATTATCTTCTAACTAAGTCTAATTAATTAAATTATAAAGAGAAAAAGGCTAAATAGCTTCTTTAAAAACGTACTAAGGCGCTATAAAGGGCGTAAGCTAAAATAAATAAATCTTTAGTAAAGTTAGATTGTCTTTAGTAAGTAAAAAAAATAGTATTTAAGAAAGGTTAAAGTATCTTAAATACTTTTCTTAAGAAGTCTAAGGGGGTTCTAATAAAATCTACTATTATTTATAAAGTATAGTCTAGTAGTGCCTTTAGTGTTATTAACTAAAGCGCTATATAAGGGGATCTACACTTAGTAAGTTTTAACTTTAGTATACTTATAGAAGCTACTAGGAATATTAAAGGTTCTTAACTAGTTCTTATAAGTTATTTTTATATTTATAATTTTTTTACTTAACTAAGTATTATTTTCTTTTATTTTTATAGCGTTAGTTAATAATTCTTTTAACTTTATACTTTAGTTTATAAGGTTTAATAATAATATAGTTATTAGTATTTAATTCTTATAGTACTACTTCTAGTAGTGTAATATAAAAAACTAAGTAAACTTTTATTATATTAAGTAAGTTAAGTTTATAGTTAATATCTAAGATCTTCTTAAGGATCTTAAAAAGTTTAAGTTTCTTATAGTTAAGCTTATTACTTAGTTACTTTATTTTAATATTTCTTTATAAGAGGTATATGCTATTCCTTTTTTTAAAAGTTAGTCCTTTAATCCTTAAAGTGTTAGTATATTTCTTTATTTATATCCTAATAAATTCTAAGTCTAGGGCTGCTTTACTTTAGAGTTCTCTTATTTTATTAATATTAGCTATAGCTTTTAATACTTATAGGCCTTCCTTAAGTTCTTTATAAGTAGTTAGCTAAAATCTATAGTTTAAGTAAAATAGTAAGTTCTAAGTGCTTTTTTTAATAGTACTATTATAAGTATATTAGGCTATTAGTAGTAGTAGTACTTAATTATTTTAGTAATAGTTAATATAGTATTATAAGTACTATTTAAGTATTTAGTTAATCTTTTCTATTTATAAATTAGTATAAAAGTAAGACGTAGTAAATAGTTTATAGTCTACACTAAGCTATAAAATTAAGGATTT